TCAACTTTTTCCGACTTTTCGATTTTTTCGACTTTTTGACTATTTTTTGACTTTTTTTTGAGTTTTTCCAACTATTTAAGAGTTTTTGACTTTTTTCCACTTTTTTAAGATTATCGACTATTTTTGAATTGTTTCTACAATTTTCGACTTTTTCCGACTTTTTTCGACTTATCGATTTTTTCGACTTTCAGACTTTTCTACTTTTTTCACAGACCATAGTCGAGTTATCGACTTTTTTGGAACAAAATAGTCGACTTCGACTTTTAGACTTTTTTCGACAAAAAGTCGATTGTTCGATTATTCGAAAGTCGATTTATAGAACCTTACTTAGAAGTTGGGGAACATATTAAAAAACACTGAAATGGGCTAGAAAGGAAAATATAAATAATTTATTATCATGGATTACGAATTTAATAACTGTGTAGTTTTCCACGCCACCAAGGAGGTACTACACCGGGCGCATTGCCAATTTTTTTTTAATGGCTGGCATCCATAATAGGCCTTAACCACTTCATTTAATTTATTTATACAAACAAATTTACAAACAATTAAAATTTACAAACAATTTACATAAATTTACAAACAACTAAATTTTACAAACAATTTAAATTTACAAACAGTTAAAAATAAATTTTCGAAAATCCGGACCAATTTCACATTGAACATCAAAAAGAGCAAATATCAATTTCGAGCCAGTCGATTCATGATGGAAAAGGGAAATTATGTTGGAGGTAAGGCGCCAGGACCATTAAAATAATCTTTGAACGTATTTCGAACACATCGGCCATTAAAATTTTCCTCCAATTGAGCATTTAAATTACTAGAAGTTGAGCGAATGTTGTTGTTGCTGCTTGTGTTATTGCTGGAATGGCGGTTAGAAGACATGATGGGCGATTGTTTTCGCAAAAAATTATGGAGATAGCAGCATGCTAAAGTTATTTTTGTAACTTTTTCCGGAGACAAATTAATAGTCGTATGAAATACTCTGAAACAATTAGCCATTATGCCGAATGTGTTTTCAATGACTACCCTGGATTTTGATAATCTTTTGTTGAATACAATTTCTTGAGAATCTGAAGTGTTGAATGGATAGGGTTTCATCAAATTTTCCCCAAATGGAAAGGCACTGTCGCCTACAAACACGTACGGAGCTTTTATATCTGTATCTGGTAAATTGTCTGGCGCCGGAATTCTCAATTCTTTTTTATTTAATTTAGAGTGAAATTTAGTTTTGTAGAGCGTCCCTGCATCTCCAGCCCTTCCATTTGTATCCACATCAACAAAAAGAAATTCATAGTTGGCGTTCGCAATAGCCATTAAAACAACAGAGTGGATATTTTTGTAATTTAGGTAAAAATCCTGGCTCTCATTTGGTTTTCACATACAAATGTGCTTCCGATAGATTGCACCGATGCAATGGGGGAAGTTCCAACCTTTTCCTTTCCCTTTTCCATTTCTCACTGGTTTCTGGCAACTGTAATAAATTATACTTTAAAATTATTTTTTTATTTATAGTTGTTGGTTTTATTACCTTTATATATGCAAACATGCATTTGCATAGAAATCCTTGCCCTGCTAATTAGAATAAATCAAATTACAAATTAGTCACAAATCAAAAAATAGTTATTGGTATTTTTTGTTAAATTCAATTACTACTTTTACTACAATTATTTACTATTTACTACAATTATTTACTATTTATTTACCTACACTGAAAACAATCCATGCTTAATTTTACGAAAATAATTTTCGTAACTACTTTTTTCTTAATATTTACGAAAATTTTGTGTATAATATATTTTTTCGTATAAAAAAAAATTTAGACTATAAGTATGTAATTCATACATTTCATTAGCATTAATTAAAAAAATATAATTATTTTTTTTCATTAGCATTATTTTGTCCAATGGTAATGCTTTTTAAATTATTACGATTTCATTAGTAATAATTTAAAAATAAATTTTAATTACCATTATTCAATGGTTCTTATATAAAAATTTTTATATAAAAAATATAAAATATTATAAATAGTATGAGTATTATAAATTTATATAAAAAATGGTTTTTATATAAAAAATTTTTTGTATTTAATTTTAAAATTTTTAATCATAAATAAAGTTCTTAATATAAAAATAAACTTTTTACATTGTTTTTTTATGATAGTTGAAGTTTAATTTGTTACTGTTTAATTTACCGTATGGTTCCTGATAGCTGATTCAGGGGTTCCACATTCAAAATTTCTTAAATAAAACAAACAGATAATAGAACAAAATACTTTTCTTTGTTGAATTTTATATAAAATTAGTTTTTGAAAAGATTTCCACCGAAAAAGTCTTAAATCCACTTATAGATAATAGTTAATCCACCGATTTTTGACCCGAATTTCGAGCAATATTTCAATTTTTCAATTTAACCTACCCCAGGAGGTTTAAAAGTGACTTAAATATCACAGTATTTTGACAAACAGGAAAAATTATTTAAGCACAAGTTCAAAAAAATTAAAAATTTATATAATTGATCTTGATTTTTAGATAGATAAATGTATAGGAATTAATACTAGTATATAGACAATACGATATAACCCAAAAAATGAAACAGAAAGTTTTAAAATTAGGAAAACAAAATATGTTTTTTATTTTTTTACATTTTTAAAGTCATATACGTTTATTTTGTGAAAAATAGGAAGAAATATTGTTTTTTGCGTTTTAATATTATAGGGCACGTTTTAACTAAACTTTCTTTTAATGCCCAAACAATAACCTACCTTAAAATCAAGATGAATTTCAGAAAAAAGTAAGGAAAAAAATCTATAAAATAGATATATCATATGAAAGAAGAGATAAATACCTTTTATTTGAGATACTAATCATCAAATTCTAACGGGTAGTTTTTGAGAAAATTTTGTTTTCAACACAAAATGAAGTCGTTTCTATTATTTTTTCCACCACTGTATGTTCATTTTTACTCAAAACATTGTGTATACGATATTGAAGGCATATCATATAACACACAGTTGTAATTCAGGTCTGAGTTGGGGAACAACTCTCGCGTCATCGTTTTTATTTCTTAAGGACGGTCAGGCTTGTGCTTGTTGCTGGGCTTTCGACAGAATTACTTCTCACCCCGCACTAATTTAATGCACTACTTCGTATAACTGTTCTAAGTTATGCGTTGTCTTCATTAAACGCGTGCTTTCGTTTTACCTCAGAGTGAGGTTATGTATTTAACTGGTGGAGACCATAAAATACTCACGATATAACCTGGTGGAGACCATTTAAACTCAAATATTTACTGGTGGAGACCATTAAAACTCTAAAACTTTTTTCTGGTGGAGACCATTAATACTTTTGATGAAATTAAGTCCGGATGCTCCAACTTCCTATATGAAGGTATAGGTCGGTTGGTGGGGTTTTCTCTGGACAAACGTGTGATAACCTGGCAATATGAGTGCTTAATGTACCGCCATCCTAATTAAAACCCGAAAAAAAAAAAAAAAATATCATATAACAAATTATAGAGCTTTATTAATTTTTGCTCATTCATTCTACCATTTTTACATGCATAAATAACTTTTAAACTGATTCGATATGCTAATCCTTTGTCATGTTCATTCATATCTTGGAACATGTTATAACAATATCTAAATATATTTACATCATTATCCGCTTCTTCTTCCTTTTGTTCTTTTTCTAAGAGTTTTTTTGCAGTAACTAAAATATCATTTTCAATCTCTTCTCTATCTAAATTGATTTGTTTATTTTGAGTCTTTTTAGAATTTTCAATCTGAAAAGATGATATAATAATAAAAGTACGTTGTCATCGTCTTTGTCTTCCAAAAATTTTCAACTTATCGTAGAATACCCACTTCGGTTTATAAACATCATTTTCCTATTTTCCCTTTTGAATGAGGCACGAAAAATACTTAATTTCTTCAAAACCGTGTCTCTCGTTGCATCTGGTATATGCTCTTTAAGTTTGTTTAACAATATTTTATAAGCATCTTCCATCAAAGCTGCATTTTTAGCGTCGTCGCATTTGAAATACCATAATTCTGGATGAGCCTGGTATATGTCCAGAAACTCTATCCAAAATATTTAATTATTTTCCATTACTATTGTAAATATATATCCTTTAGAGGCACGAAAAAGTATTAGAGTGTAAACATAAAATGTATTTTTCGGATTGAATAGTTTTGGAACGATGAAATAGTGGATTATAGTATCGCTTTGTGAAAAATACTAATAACAAGAGTGCCATTTCACAAAAGCAAATCATTGCTGAAATCTAAAGTAAACAAATTTAATTAAAAACAGTACAAAACTACTTTTTGTAGACTATTTAAAATTAATGGCTTTTTAAGGAAACTTTTTAAACACCAGCATTCGTTTCGCCTTATACATATATATATGAATGCTGTGTGTTATGAAAACCATAGCTAGGGAAGTTTTTTCTTTTTCAGTACAGAGTTGTATTTATAGGGGAAGAAACTAGGAAAGGGGAAATTTCGACTTTTTATCCACTCCCATGTCAAATTTAATCTGCCCCACTGTGTGTATGCTTAAATTTTTAAACAATGAAGTTTTTTATATTTAAATTTTGAAAGATCGTAAAATTTTCAAGTATTTTAAAATTTAAACAACATTTTCTGCACACAATTTTTCTACTCCGAAAGGTTTTATTAAGAAATGCAATTTTTTAATCCGTCTACAGGTAAAACTACCGTTATAGCCCAATAATGCTTTCTCTTTTACCTAAATTCCATGAATTTGTCAGTAGTAAGCCTAATAACAAATTGTATTTTAGGTATAGACTGACCTTTTGCTAAACTTATTACTATATTAGTTATTTTATACTTAACAAATAAATAAATACATGGTTTTTCCAAAAATTTAAATTTTTTGTACATTTTAAACACTACCTAGAAAAGTACCTTAAAACACAACTCTGTACTGAAGAAAAAAAACGCGTGGTCCCTCACATTTCAAACGAGTTTTTGTGAAACAACTTGTACTAGTTACTCGTCAATTTTAGTCGGAAGAAAAAATTTTTTTGCTACGGACCGAATTACAGCAGCAAAATATTTCTCCACAATATTTTTCGTATTTTTATACAGTTCATATTAATTAAAAAAATGCTAAAATATGTAAAAAACATAAAGAAAAGTGTGAACAACAATTACATACTAAAATAATTGCAAGTAAACGTAAAAAAGTAAAGAAAATTCAATTGAAAAAGTTGACGGCTACCAGTAAAAAAGAAGAAAAAAATCATTGAACGCGAAAATTTCTAAAAGAATATGGTGTAAAAAAAGATGGGAAAATACATATAGAAAATCAAAAGAAAAAAAAACGTGTAAAAGTGTTGCAAAATAAATAATATAGAAAAACGAGTTAAATGAAGACAACAAGTAGAGAGAAAATGTTTAAAAAATTAAAATAATGATAAAAGAATTTAATAATTATTTTCTAAAATAAAAAAAAAAAACAAACGTAAAGGACATTCAAGGAGAATTGAGGAGGTTAAGAACAACACAACAAGCAAAAGATAGCAAGAAATTGAAGGAAAACAACAAAAGAAACGAGTGGATAAAGAGAAAAAGTAAAAGAAAGGAATTGTTTTTATTACGGTTACGTGTTGTTGTACAAATTGAAGAAAAAAGGAATAAAAGCCAAACACACACACCACAGGACAGTGTGAGAGCGGGTGCCAGACAAATTGTACAGCAAAACTAGAAAACAAAGTTTCAGTAAGGCCGACCGCACCCGCCAATTAAAAATTTCAGTTTTATTACAAAAAAAATCGAAATCTTGTCAAAATTCCACCACAAACCCCCACTACTACCAACTCCATGCCCGTGTCCGTGGTTTGTGAGACTGCGGCCAGTGTTAATGCCGCCCTAAGGGAATCTTTAGGTTCAGGCGTTAGTTGTTCGGCCGCGGCCAAACAACAACAGTCAACGACATCGTCGTCATCACCGTCCCAACAACAAGATGATAAAATGAATGGTGGCTCTAATGCCGATGATATTGATACATTGCATGGCAAACTAGTGGCATCCGCTAAACGGGTATTATTGTCAAAAATCGACTATGAAGAAGTTACCAATTATGGCCAATCTGTTTTGGATAGTTTAAAATCAAAATATATTGTTTTAAAACCCTCGTCGGGAAATAATAATTCCATGGAAAATGGTCGGAATTCACCAGCAACCTGCAATAATAATGGCGCAAATGGTGACAGCGCTGCCGGTAAGTGTACGTGTTTTTTTATTTTTTCTTTTTATTTTGTTTTCATTTTATATTTTGTGTGTGTTTTCATCACTAGTTTTTTTTTACAAAAACAATAAATACTTCCTTTTATTTTGTGTAAATATTTGTGCAGACATTTTTTTCTCTCATCTTGCTAGTAAACGTCAATGTTTATTGCCCAAACTACAAGAAATTAAAGAAAGAGAGAGATTGATATTTGCTTTTGGTTTAGTAAAAGAGCGAATGAAAAAGAAATAAGTTTTTATTTTTTTTTTTTTTGGTTGTTGTCAATAATGATAAAATGCAGTTACATTGTTTTGATTAGAGTATTGCCAGCTTAAAAAAATAGTGAAGTTTTGTTTTTTTTGTATATAGTGGGAAGAAAAATTGTAATTTAAAAAAAAAAAAACACGTTTATTTTTTTGTTTTTTAGAAAAAAAAAGATCACGTGCTTTTTTTTGTTAATTGTTAAAATAAATTGAATTTTTTTTAATGTATTTTATAAATCTTTTCTTAGTTTCTTTATGCTTTTGATAATATGTATTTATTAATATTAGTAATGAATCATTGTTATTGTTTAAGTTGCTTGTTGTTTAAGTTTTTTTAAGAGACAACAAAGAATTTTGTTTTGCTAATTTCTTATTCTTCTTTCGTTACCGGATATAATTAATATGTATGAAATTTACTTGCTATATGTAGCACAGCTACAGACAGGCTAGTGTAGACTAGATGAAATTTTGAAAAACAGAAAAAAACTAGGTATATCGGTGAAATTGTATAAAGTTTTCGGCAATATAAACATTTTTTAATGTTTTTTTAGTCGCACATACATAAATGATTGATATGACATTGAATGCGCCTTCTAAAGACCTTTCGTTTGATAATAAAATTGCATAAGTAGATATAATTTTTTCAAGAAATATGGAAAAAATCATAAACACCTTAAAAAAGAAGGTTTTTATCCTTTGATCTAGCCCAAAAATTTTAGAAATGGTAAAATGAACATCAGCAACATCAATTTTGGGGCCGCCCTAATGTATTTTCCGCCTTTATATTTCAAAAATACGATAAAAGTTAATTGAAAATTAGTACATATAACTATTGGGATGATTTTTTAATACCTACCCAGGTTTCCTAAACCTATTTAAGTCTTCTACTAATTTCCTCTAAAATTTTTTTTACTTTTTTCATACATATTTTGTTTTTTTTTTACTCACGTGTAAAATTTCACCTTTTTAAGCGCCAACCCACAACCCATGTTGGCAACATTAACTTTTCTATTATTTTTGTTTTCTTTGTTGTGTCATTTTCTTGTTTTTCTTTTATTTTTTATCACGTACACACTATACAGTTGCTTTGCTTTTGATTTTTATTTTTATAATTTCCATACACGCACACACAAACATACAATTGCGAAATGTGCTTATCACGCGAAATAAAAAAAAAAAGAACAACAACAACAATAACATAAAGAGTAAAAATGACAAGAGAATTTTTATTTGAGGTAGATGTCAAAAGTAGAAAGAAAAACAAAAGAAATGTCATAAATAGCAGCATATTTTGCGTTAACTAGGAAAATTAAATATTTTTTGAGTGCGCGTAAAGCAAATAAGGAAAATTCTTGAATTTTCCCTTGGAAAAAATGGCTACAAGAAAATCCAAGGATAAAAATAGCTAAAAAAACTAAAATAAAGCAAATGTGTTAAAAAAAAAATTGTAAAAATTTAATATTTTTGTCCGTTTTTTTATTAATACTTTGGACAAAATGAAAATTTGGAGTGTACTTTTACTAGAGACCTTACGTGGCCTCGTGTTGGATTACTTAATGTTATGGCTTTTATATCGTTTCATATTGAAACCTCTTTACTTTAAAATTAAGAGGTTTTATAATTTTATTTGCTACAAATTGCAATGTAATTATATTAATAATAATTATGAATTATGTTATTCTTGTTCTTCCCCTCTAAATGACTGTTTATGCCCTGATAATGATGATCGAACAATAACAACAACAACAGATGCCAATGGTAATGCAAATGGTGGTGGCCCAGGAACACCCAATAAAAAAGCTCCTAATCCAAATGAATTACCTGCCCCCAAGCGTATACTCTACCCAAGAGAAAATGTGCGTGTAGGCTGGAAGGCCACTGGACGCAAATGGGATGTTGGTGTGGGTATGATGAATGTGGGCAATACTTGTTATTTAAATTCCACACTACAAGCCATATTCCATGTACCCTCCATGGCGAATTGGCTTATGTCAGATAGTGCCCACATGGAACGTTGTGAATCAACTGATGCTGGTTGCATTATTTGTGCCATGGCCAAAACTCTGCACGAATCACAAAAAAGTCAATCGGCTATACGACCCTACTATGTTTATTCTAAGTTAAAATCTATATGTAAACATTTAGTTATGGGTCGCCAGGAAGATGCTCATGAATTCTTACGCTACTTGGTGGAGGCTATGGAAAAGTCCTATCTCTCACGTTTTCGCAACTACAAGGAGTTGGATCAGTACAGCAAAGAAACAACACCTTTAAATCAAATTTTAGGTGGTTATCTAAAATCTGCTGTACGCTGTTTGTCCTGTAATCATGTCTCGGTGACATTTCAACATTTTCAAGATTTACTCTTGGACATACGCAAAGCCGATACAGTCGATGAAGCTTTAGAGGGTTATTTTTCACGTGAACGTCTCGAGGATATGGGCTATAAGTGTGAAGCTTGTAAGAAAAAGGTAAGAATGAGAGATAAAGTCATGGAATTTTAAAATATTTAAATGAAACTAACTTTTTCAAAAAGAAAGTATATCCTATGGATTAATTGGATAGTCTATCGAGTAATAAAAGTAATAATCTATGAACTTTTCTATTGACTGCAACATGAACTATTCTATGGAACAGTCTATGGACTAATTAGTCTATTAACTAGTTTGTCTAGGGTCTACTCACTAGTCTTTAGAAAATTTTATTAAAAAAAGTTATTTTTATTGTCAAAAGTACTAAATACATTGTGTAATATTTTCTTACCATTCCTTTGTATCAGGTTTCAGCCACAAAACAATTCTCTTTGGAACGTGCACCCATTGCCTTGTGTATACAATTGAAACGTTTTTCAATGTTAGGCACTAAACTAAATAAACAAATAACCATAAAACCTAGACTGGATCTAACAAAATATGCCTCACGTAAAAATCCTGGCGAACAACTGACCTATCGCCTAGTGGCCATGGTTACACATTTGGGTGCTTCCCAGCACTGTGGACATTACACGGCCATTGGTTTAACCGAATCGGGCACCTACTATAACTACGATGACAGTTATGTGCGTCCCATATCAATGCAAAATGTCTGTAATACAAATGCCTATATAATATTCTATGAAATGGATACACAGCCACCACGAAATGTCACGAGTACACAGGTAAGTGGGGCACAGAGCACATCGGTGGCTTCCAGTGCCAATCAAAAAGAGACGATTAAAATGAATGGCCATGCCTTGGGTGGTTCACCGCGTATAATTGGACCACAACTGCCGCCTGGTTATAACACAAATGTCAACGGTCCAGTAACCTCCTCTTCTACGCCTTTAACCAATGGAGGCAGTAAATTATTGTTAAATCGTTCTGCCTCCACATCATCCACAACTACAACATCAACCTCATCATCATCAAATGGTGGTAGTAGTAAAATAATGATACATTTCAAAAATAACAACAACAGTAGCAGCACTGTTAAAACCAGTGCTGCAACATCTTCAGTAACTTGTGCCTCGGCCACCTCATCTACAAGCAGTTCCACATTTGATAATCTTAAAAATAGCAACAACAACAATTCTAACGGTCTTCACTTAGTGGGGACCGGGAAATTTCAGGAATCTACTACGAATACGAAGTATCCACTGGGTGTCTCAACAACTAAAAGACAAGTTAATAATCTTAAAAACAGTAACGAAAGTTCCTCCGATGACGATGACGAAAATGAGATTGTAAGCTCTTCAACATCATCACAACAAACACACAACGCTACACAAGCCACACTGCCAAGTATGCCTAAATTGGGTGTCGAATCCACAAATACAACCAGTCTAACAAATGGTTATGCTAAAAAATCGCCTGCCCCCATAAAAAGTCTTGTGCCCTACGGCTCGGAGACGGATGAAGAAGCTGATGTCTGTATGTCGGCGGCTACAGCTACAAGTGTTGCTGCTGCAACTACTGCATCCAATGAACAGCAAAAGCGTTTATTACCCAATCCTTTGAAACGTAGACAGAGCTCGTCATCGTGGTCGAGCAGTAGTTCATCGGATAATGATGACGATGCCAATGATAACGATATAAAACCCTCGAATGGCATAAAAATTAAAAAGGCTGCCTCATCTACAGCAACTGTTTCAAAATCACCTGCTAAATCTGCCAACGATGTGGCTAAGAAATCATCAGATACCATCGACGAAATCTTCAATAGCATTAAACGTTCCAATAATACAAATAACACAAACAACTCCACCACCACCACCTCGGGGGCCAATGCAACTCTAAAGAAAAAATCACAAAACCAGCAATTTACCGTTACCTCAACCACTACCACAACAGATTCCTCCTCATCAGATTCCGATGACTGCAGCGCCAGCAATAATAAAACAAAGCCTACATTTAAAAGATCACACTCTACACCACCTTCGCCTCCAGTTGTTAAAACAAACTCTGGCATTTGGCAAGTTACCTCTTTACAACCAGTTACCGCCTGCATAAGTCCTACAACATCAATGCCTTCATCTTCAGGTTTATCATTGCCTGCCGCCTCAACAGAAATCAAATCACCCAAAAATCATAAAAATCCCTTTGCCACAAAACCCCTCCCGGTGGCCACAGAGAATGCCAAACGCATTAAGAAAGATGCCACCAATAAAACTTTCAATGGCAACGGCTATCAACGTAACACAGCAGCCAATGAATCAGCGGTTTCAGAACTTTTAAAACAATCACATCGCGGCTATGGCGCACCAACTTTAAACTGGAATGGTCAACAAAGTGAAATTGATAAAGAGGTAAGTTAAATTTATTATTTTTAAATTTTGTATTTTCTTTTTTTACATATTTTGGTATATATGATATATAAAATAAGTATCTTTTTAGTTTAACATAAACAATTTAAAATTGTTATCAATTAACTTTAAATTAAAGCAAAATTGTTTTGAAATTGTGTGTTAAAATAAAATTTGAATATGTTATAGATTAGGTTTTTTATGCCATACAAAGACGAAATTATAGATCAAACCTGTAGACATGACTATAGTCTAGACTTTGAATGTAACTAAAGTCCATACAATAGGCTATAGAAAAGATTATAGTACAGACTATAGATCCGGACTTAAGACGAGATTATAGTCCATACTATAGACTATAGTATAGACGATGCTACAGTGCTGACAATAGACGAGACTATGGTCATGACAATAGACGAGTCTATAGTCATGACAATAGACGAGACTATAGTCATGACAATAGACGAGACTATAGTCCAGACTATAGACTAGATTATGGTTCCGAATTTTGAATAGAAAATACTCCATACTATGGTCAAGACTATAGTCCAGATTATGCACAAAACTATAGTCCAGAATATAGACTATGGAGACTTCTATATTCCTATAAGACATTGTACTATAGACGAGAATATAGTCTAGATTACAGTCCACACTTTGACGAGATTATAGTCTATACTATAGAGAGACTATAATCCATACTATATACGAGACTTTAGTACAGACAATAGAAGAGACTAAAGTCCATTCTATATACGAGCCTGTACTATGATCGTCAGAATATCGACGAGATTATAAGTAGTTCAGACTAAAGACTATATTGCAATCTGTCGATCACACTATTGTCCAGACTTGAGGCGAGATTAAAGTCCATATTATAGTGCAGAATAAAGACTCTAGTATAGTATATAGGTCAGACTATAGTCAAGATTATAGTCTATAATCCAGACTATATAAGTCCAGTCCATAGATAAGACTGTTGTCTATATAGGCAAGGAAATGTTCCAGGATATAGGCTCGGCTATTGAAAAGAATATAGTACTGACTATAGCTATAGACCCGACTATAGTTCTCATTATAGATGAGATTATAGTCCAGACTATAGACGAACATAGGGTCCAGACTATAGTCTATAAACGAAACTATATACAAGACTTTATTCAGACTACAGACTATATATACTCCAGTCTATAGATTATACCCAAACATTTGTTGTATTAAAAGTTTCCCTACACGATTTCAAAACAATTTTGCTAAAATTACTAAAAATATTTATTAAAAATAGTTAAAATAAACATTATTGGTTTATGATTAAACAAATTCCCTACAATATTCAAATTACAAATAAATATAAGTTGTAAATAGAGTCGTCTTCTATCGTTGTGTTTTCAAAACTCAAAATAAATAAAAAAAAATCATTTAAAAACTCACAAACAAAAGGTTAAAATAAGCCTAAATCTTGAGCACTTTTATTTGAAACAAAACTCAAATAAAAATAATTATATTTTTTTACAAAATCGTTGGTATTTTATAACTATTCTATAGAAAAATTACAATAAAACTTAAACGTTTCTTTTGATGGATTATAAAACTGCCCAAATAAAGAAATGTTCTAGGGCTGTCATATTTGATTGTTGACTGTAGAGTAGTCATCTCACTTTTGTCTACATTAATTAAAGTTTTTGGTTTATTTTCCCAAAAGTTTATTATTAAATTAAATGTGGTTTTATTGGAATTTATGCAATATTTTGTTTTTTTAGGTCAATTATTTTATTTATTATTTTTATATTATTTGGTATATAAAATTCAGTTATTTCTTTTATATACATAAATGTATTAATACAACAGGAACGGTATATAATTGTCCATAAATTCAACTCCAAAAGAAACTATTGGCAAGAAAAATGATTTAAAACAACTTCTGAAATTTCTAAATTTAAAACTTTTGTATGAAATTCCTTTACCAAGTTACCAAGTCTCAAGATAAAACTTGTTGCAGCAATAAATGGAACATTCAAAATTGTTTCTTGTTTCCAAAAATATCTATAAATTTTTCTAAAATTTAAACAAATTTCTTAAGTTTTAACGAAGAAAACGTTCTTATTGTGTTAATACATTACGCTATTAGTTATTTATTTACATCATTTTTGTACAAAAGTAAAATACCAAGTAAAAAAATAATAAATTATTTGAAACCGAAAATAAACAAGAAAAAAAACTGCGTCATTATCCTATTTTCCACTTCCCTTTAATTTAGAATTTTTATTTGTTTGATGAGAAACGGATAGAAGACGACGACGACGACGACAGCAACAATAACAATAATAAGCAACAACAACATAACATCAACAACCAAAATGAACATGATCTAAAACATGACGATGATGGTGATGATGATGAACGTTATAATGACGTAAAAGATATATCAAATTTAAAACGAAACGACAATCAACAACATCATCAGAAAAATGAAAATGAACAAAATAATGACAACAATATCAGCAATTTTATAGCAACAGAGCAGGATGAAGTATATGATGAGTATAAGGAACAAACTGATAACAACATGATCTCTACAACATCAACATTATTATCCTATTGTATGGATGATATAGAACTTAAACTAACAGCTCAAGATGTCCTAAAACATAATGAACATATTGTACAACAAATGATGGATGAAGAAATGGAAAATCTAGATTCTTGCAGTTCTGGCACAACGGCCACCACAGTAATCAATACCTACGGTTTATCATCGCCCAATTCTACGTTATTAACTACAATTTCTCCGCCTGCCACACCCACAACATCGTCAAACTCTCGAGCAATAATAAGCTCAAACACCAACTGCTCCTCTTCACTATTGCCAACAGCAACAGAAGAAGAGATCGTAGAAGAAATTTCAGCTTTTGTATACAACGAAGAAGATACTATGGAGGACAATCTATAACAGGAATATTTTAAATATGTGCATTTTCTTATGATTTTATGATGCTGCTACTGATGTGTAGAACTAATTCTAACTACAGCACTACAACAATTAGCTTTTCTTATTATAAAACACCAAATTAGAACAACAACAACAACAACCCAGCAAATAACAACTTTTACAGCAACTAAGTAAAAGAGTAAAAGTCTTAGCTTTCAAAATGGCCTTATTATGGTTTTTGCATTTAATTTAAAACAACGACCTGTGAACAGTTTTAAAAGGAAAAAGAAAAAGAAGCTACAAACAGTACCGATTTTCCCCAAAATACTACAATTTTCAAAAGAATTTCTTCTTTAGAGAATTTTGAAATATTGTGTGTTTGATTTGCATTTATATTTTATTATTTGACTTGCTACAACTAAAATGATGTGTGATATGGTGATTGTGATTGTTTGATACTTTCTTAGTAGTCGTTTCAAGTTCAAATAAAAATGGCTTATCTATTATAGGTAATTTCATTTTTTGTTTATTTTTATATTCATTTTTACAATTTAGGAAGCGATTTTAATTTATGTGTTGTTTCTAGATAACGAGCGAGTAGTTTGAGCACAAATTTTACTTGTATTTTGTTATTGTAACAAAAACAAAATACAAGTAAAATTTTAACTCAAACTACTCACACGTTATCTAGAAACAACACATTATTTAAAAATAGATTTTTTATAATAATATGTAATTTTAGTACAATGATCTTTTTCAGGCCTTCAAAAATATTTAAAATTTAATAGTTCAAAGCAAGCATTCTTTTCACAAACTGTTAATAAATTTTTGACATTTGCTAAGATAGACATTTTCAAATCTTACACAGGCCAACAAAATTTGAAAAAAGTCTGTTAAAATATCTCTAAGAAGGCGGCAGATATAATATCAAATAAACTTGATATGATTCTATTCCTATTTCAGATTTAGCGCAGCTTATTTCTTTAGAAAATTATCCAAAAAATTTTAATTTTCATATAAGAATATTAAATTTCTTAGAAATTTTGATATTTTACAAAAATTTTGAAATATGAGTTCATAAATATATTCTCAAAAATTTTAAATTTCAAACAAACATTAAAAATTTTAACAAAAAAGTATGGAATTTTATTTTGAAAAATTTCAAATTGAATTTTTGACAAAAATATTGAAAATTTCTCATAAATTTGAATATTTTACTAAAAATTTGGAAATTTTCACAAAAATTTTATTTTTTAACAAAAAAAAATTTCAAAATTATAAATTTTAATAAAATTTTGAAATTTTCATAAAATTTTGAAACTTTCATAAAATTTCGAAATTTTCAAAAAAAAATTAAAATTTTTCAGAATTTTAAATTACATTTTAACAAAATTTTGATATTTTCATAAAATTTTGAAATGTTCACATTTCATTTTGCCTAAAAATTTTAAATTTCTAACAAATTTTAACAAATAATTTAAATGTTGAAAATTTCCCATAAATTCGGAAATACTAAAATTTAAAAATATTAACAAAAAATTGTTTTTTTTCATAAAATTTTGAAATTTTTCATAAAAATTTTGAAATTTTTCATAAAAATTTTTAAATTTTTCAAAAAAAATTTGAAATTTTTCATAAAATTTTGAAATATTCACAAAATTGTAAATTTTACAAAAATTTAGAATTTAGATTTCTTGTGAATTTTCAATTTTCATAATATTTTTGCAAAATTTCAAGTTGTCATAAAATTTTGAAATTTTCATAAAATTTTGAAACTTTCATAAATTAAATTTTCTTGGAATTTTAAATTAAATTAGATTTTAACAAAAATTTTGATATTTTCATAAAATTTTGAAATTTTCACTAAAAATTTTAAATTTCTAACAAACAAATTTTTATAAAAAATTTAAATGTTGAATATATTCCATAAATTTGGAAATATTTATTCACAAAAATTTGGATTTTCCCTAAATATTATAATTTTTAACAAAAATTAAAAATTTAGCTGTCTTTTGAAAAATATTTAAATTTTCATAAAATTTTAAATTTGAACAAACATTTGAAGTTTTAACAAATAATATGAAATTTTTACAAAAAAAAAAAAAAAAAAAAAAAAATTGAAAATATCTCATAAATTTGAATATTTTACTAAAATTTAAAAATATTAACAAAAATTTAAATTTTTTTTCATAAAATTTTGAAATTTTTCATAAAAGTTTTTAAATTTTTCATAAAATTTTGAAATATTCACAAAATTGTAAATTTTACAAAAATTTAGAATTTAGATTTCTTGTGAATTTTCAATTTTCATAATATTTTCCCAAAATTTCAAATTGTCATAAAATTTTGAAATTTTAATAATTTAATAATAATTTTCATAAAATTTTGAAACTTTCATAAATTAAATTTCAAATTAAATTTTCTCGGAATTTTAAATTAAATTACATTTTAACAAAAATTTTGATATTTTCATAAAATTTTGAAATTTTCACTAAAAATTTTAAATTTCTAACAAACAAATTTTTATAAAAAATTTAAATGTTGAAAATTGTCCATAAATTTGGAAATATTTATTCACAAAAATTTGGATTTTCCCTAAATATTATAATTTTTAACAAAAATTAAAAATTTAGCTGTCTAAATATTTAAATTTTCATAAAATTTTAAATTTGAACAAACATTTGAAGTTTTAACAAATAATATGAAATTTTTACAAAAAAAAAAAAATAATAATAATGAAAATATCTCATAAATTTGAATATTTTACTAAAATTTAAAAATATTAACAAAAATTTAAATTTTTTTTCATAAAATTTTGAAATTTTTCATAACATTTTTCCAAAACTTGAAATTGTCATAAAATTTTGGAATTTCAAAAAAAAAAATTCTCAAAATTTTAAATTAAAACAAATTACTTTGAAAAAAAATTAAAGTCTAGATTTTTTTTAAAAAAATTTTTAAATTTTCATAAAATTTTGAAATTTTTCCAAAAAAAATAAGTTAAATATTCACTGAAATTTTTAATAAATTTGGAAATATTCACAAAAAATTTGCATTTTCCCCAAAAATCTTAATTTTTAGCAAAAATTCAAAATTTAGATGTCTTTTGAAAAATATTTAAATTTTTATTTGTCAATTTTGAAAATAAAAAAAAAATAATTTCTCATTATTTTAAATTAAAACAAATTTTAAAATTTAAATTTTATGAAAAAATTTCGAAAATTTCATAAAATTTTGAACTTATTGCAAAATTTTAAAATTTTCATAAAAGTTTTAAAATTATCGCAAAATTTTATAATTTCAACAAAAATTTGGGATTACATTTTAACAAAAACTTCAAAATTTTGATTTTGAAATACATATTCCCAAAAATTTTAACAAAAATTTGGGAATTGTTTACATATATTTGTAATTTTCATAACATTTACACAAACATTTGGAAAATTTAAATTTTCTACAAATATTGAAAAACAAGTACAAAATAAATTCCCCATTTGATATTAACACACAGTTTACACCTCCATTTTACGCTTTTATGCTTTTTTTCAATTTCAGAATTTTGGTACTTTTTTGTAACAAATAAAATAACTAACTGTAAAAAGTACCAAACACTATGCTTATTTGTTACAGAAACACAAATAGTACCAGAACGCCAAGATAATAACGAATTCTTCAACTTGTCGCTCTTTTCTAAAAAGAACCAACCATTTCAGTACTAAATTTTCATTTTGTTTTTTTTTATCTCGAAATCATTAATATTTTAAAAGAAGGGGAGGAGAATAAAACATTTTTGATAAAAGTATACTTCACCACGAATGATTTAAGTTTACATCAGGGAACGAAGTGTAACAGAAAAAAAGTATATTTTAAAGTGGGACCTTCTTTGGTCACAACACAATTTTGCAAATAAAGTTTTTATTTAATTTTAGTTAAATCCAAACCGACAAACAACAACAACAACAAAAAGAAATTGTCTTCAACAAAATTGTGGTATTTTTTTTTGTATTTAATTGCAGATCATAAGTGAGGCACGCGAACAGCGACAACGTGACTGGGAAGATGAAGAAGAAAATGAAATGGATCGTGGCAGACAGAAAAAGGTTAAAGTGCCAAAGGATCCATATGCAACAACACGAACCCCCGGTTATAATCCATTCCAAGAGCAAGAAAATCAAAAACGTTGGAAACGTTATCATCATGTGGGCAGTGGCGGTGGTGGCGGAGGTTATCGTCACAATTTCCAACGCAATAAATTTAAATTTCAACGTTTTCAACATAAATTTCCCAAGAAAAATATGAATAACGGAGGCGGTAGTCTGGTAAATATGAATAGACGTAATGATTCTTAACCACCCCAAGGAAGGAAAATGAAAACGAAAATAAATTCCCACAACAATAACAACAGCTTAATAATGAAATATAAAAGATGAAATTATAGGTTTTTTTATGTTAATTTTAATATTATTATAACTAACTTTACAACAACAACAACAACAAAAACAACTATTAATTAATGTTACTTTTAAGTTTTCTTCAATATTTAATTGTATAGCACAGCAACAACAAAATAATATTTAAAAAATGAAAAGTTGTAAATGAAAATTTTAAAAATATATAAATTTAACTTTTCGTTAAAAGAAAAACAAAAAGAAAAAGAATTAATAAAACTGGATTTTTTCAACAAAACAAACAACAACAAAATATAGTAAATAAAACGAAATTTGTGTATTTATACTTTAAAACTTTATAAATAAATATATTTATCGTTTTTTTTTTTAATAATTTTAAAGATTTAATGATATGAATATTATTTAAAATTAAGAATTTTTTCTTTTTTTTAATTTTTGCTAAAAATTGACTTTTTGTTAAGCATTAAGTATGTTTTTTCTTAAATTAATTTTATTATTATTTTTTTTTTACTTTTATCATGTTAAACATTTTTATATCAAAAAGAAAAATTCAAATCGAATGAATAAAAACACTATATAGTTACAACAACAAAAAAGCTACAAAAAAATATATATATATAATTTCAATAATAATAATAAAACTTAAAACAGCATGATTTTGTTTAATATTATAAAAGAAAAACAAAACAATTGAAAATTTCGTTTAAACACATTTAAGTGTGAATTTTCCTATTAAAAACACAACTTTTTTTTTTTCAATAAAAAGTTAAACAAAATGCGTCAAATGCGCTTAAACCATTTTTTTTATATATTTATAAGTTTAGTTTATAAGTTTTTGTACATATATTATTAATAATAAATAGCAGAACACACACAACAACAATTAAAACTTAAAATATTAAAAAAAATAATATTAAAATAAATTCTAAATAGTGGAAAGAAGAAAACATAACCTCATTTAAATTCTTTAGTTCAAATTTTTAAGAAAAAACCTCTCCCTCCTTTCTTTTTTTTCCACCCTCCATACCCCCCCCCCCCCCCCCCCTTATTATAGTTTACAAATAATATTTGTATATTGTATGTGTATAATTATAAAAACAAAAGTTTTAAAACAGAAACAATAAATAAATAAATCGTATGTAAAATCTTTACCCAAAATTACTATACATATAAAACTGTAAATGCTGAAGATTTTATTTTTTGCAAATTGCTCTAGGAGCTAAGGACAAAGAATGTTTGTGAAAATTGTCTAAATTTCTTATTTAGCTACACAGAATTATTTCAACTAAGAAATGTAATAAAACCGGCAATCTTTTAACACTTTGAACATTTTTTAACAATTTGAATAATGAATTCGAATGTTTCCAAGAACCATTTAATGCAGAACTCATGAAAAACGTGAACACCTGCCATGATTGGCTTATTTCACTGTTATACTTTTACAACCGCTGGATGAGTTGTTAGACAACTTACCACCATCCCTTTGTGTTTCTTACAAGCTGGTGGCAATTGTCCCACAGTCACTCCTCTGCGGGCTATCTGTTGTCTCGCCAACAGTACCAAACTTATCTAGAAATATAGAACTCACTGTGTATCAATCTTTTAAGCCACATTCTCTTCGCTCGAGTTTGCACCCAAGACAACACAAATTTAGAAACTCTGCCTTGTGGGCTGCCCTGGTTCCCTGGTTCAACTTCAGGTAAAATTATTCCAAGAAAAAGACATACATTTGACACCACCAGTTTATAGTCCCGACAGACTAGAGGTATTGTTAGTACCTCTTTTCCCCCGGATTGCAATAACACCATGATGGGGAAGATCATCAAGATAACAAGCGCCTAGAGTAGTGAAGTTTGTCAATTCCGTTTGTAATTTTCAGAATATCATTTCCCGGCTCTATGATGTTTAATATTTTCTGAATCAGGCGAAAATAGTACTTTTTAGGTTTTAAAGTACTAAACCAATTTTCCAATAGACTACACTGAAGACTGTACTACAGATTAGACTAGACTTTAGACTAGACTATGGACTAGAATTTGGACTAGACTACAGATTAGACTAGACTATAGAATAGACTGTAGATTGGACTATTGACTGGATTATAGACTAGTCAATAGACTAGATTTTAGACTAGACTATAAACTACACTATAGATATATAGAATTTAAGCTAGACAATAGCCTAGACTATATAATAGACTATAGATTAGACTATAGACTTAATAGTATAGACTAGCCTTTAGACAACACTATGGACTAGGCCATAGATAGATATAGTCCCGACAGACTAGAGGTATTGTTAGCACCTCTTTTCCCCCGGATTGCAATAACACCATGATAACAAGCGCCTAGAGTAGTGAAGTTTGTCAATTCTGTTTGTAATTTCCAGAATATCATTTCCCGGCTCTATGATGTTTAATATTATCTGAATCAGGCGAAAATAGTACTTTTTAGGTTTTAAAGTACTAAACCAATTTTCCAATAGACTAGACTGAAGACTGTACTACAGATTAGACTAGACTTTAGACTAGACTATGGACTAGAATTTGGACTAGACTACAGATTAGACTAGACTATAGAATAGACTGCAGATTGGACTATTGACTGGATTATAGACTAGTCAATAGACTAGATTTTAGACTAGACTATAAACTACACTATAGATATATAGAATTTAAGCTAGACAATAGCCTAGACTATATAATATACTATAGATTAGACTATAGACTTAATAGTATAGACTAGCCTTTAGACAACACTATGGACTAGGCCATAGATAGACTGTGCTCCAGACTATATAGTATAGACTAGACTATAGACTAAACTATAGACTAGACTATAGACTAAAATATAGGCCACACTATAGACTAAACTATAGACTAAACTATAGACTACACTATAGTCTAAACTATAGACTAGTCTATATAGTAAACTAAAGACTAGACTGCAGACTAGAATGTAGACTAAACTATAGACTAGAGTATAGACTAGCCTATAGACTAAACTATAGTCTAGACTATAAACTAGGCTATAGGCGAAACTATAGGCTACACTATAGGCTAGACTATAGACTAGTCTATAAACTAGACTATATAATAGGCTATAGACTAGACTACAGACTATAATGTAGACTAGACTACATACTGGTATATTGACTACTTACCAAAAGTTTATACATATATGGGGTTGTATCGCGGTATATGCTTGTATATTTTTTTTTTTTTTTTTTTCAAAATTCAATTAATAAACAATTTTGAAAATAACTTGATTAGGTTTTATTCTGAAATACCAGAAATTTTTCAGCAAAGAAATTTGTAACAATTCCACAAAAATGAAACATTTCTCAGGTTAGTATATTAAAATTTCCTTTAAAAACTGTTTGTTATGATTTCTCATATGAATTATAGATTTCGAAATTATCTCCTATTGGCCGATTTTTTACATTTTATTTTCACACTACAATTTTCTTTCCTGAATAACTAATTTTCTATAATTCCTCCTATAAAATACAGTCTTAAAATAACATAAATGTAAATTACATAATTGGAAAATTTAATAAAATTAACAAAATACATACAAATATATAAATATACTAATAAAATTAGCTTGTAAGTATAAAATATCATATAAGTATGATAATAAATACTATATACATATGCAAACAAATCAAATTTGCTGATTGAGTTATAAAACAAATGAATTAGACACGAAAATTAATTGAAATAAAATAATTTGATTATGAGCAAAATTAATAAAATATATAAAGAAATAATAAGCTATTTAAAATTAATAATAAATTATTATTATTAAAGAAATAAATCAATGTATGTGAATAAAAAAAAAACAACAAAAATTATTAAATAATTAATTAAATATAAATAAAATATATATTTTAAAGACACAAAAAATATGATAAATATTTGTTTTTATGACTTAATTATTTACTTACTTTGCTTTAAGCCTTTACGCTAAATTTTCGCTTATTTTCATCATTCTCTACAAATCAAAATATACTTTAACAAATTTATTTTTAAAAAAGTTTTTAAACAAATTTTTTTATTTATTTTCATATTTCTTTCTAATTTGTTTCCTATTCATTTTCCTGCCCTTACTATAAGGATTCTTTTCGAATTTCTTCTTTTTCCTTAAATGTTTAGGCAAACTCTTTAGCGTGTTGTTTTTATCTTTACGTGCTTTCTTCTGATTCACCTTCTTGTCCAATCGTTCTTTCATCTTAAAAACTTTACTCTTTTTCAATTTTTTCAAAGTTTTGGTTTTCTTAAAATGATCCAATTCTTTCTTAGATTTAATATCTTCTAAACCCAATTTGGATTTCTTGTTAGATTTCTTATCATCATCCTCATTTTCGGATTCCTCATCCGCTTCTGCTTTGCGTTTTCGTTTGGAATTTATGTCAAAATCCATGCCTGGTATACAGTTGGCACTTTCTTCTGCATCTTCGTCTTCAGAATTTTGTTCGGCCGCACTTTCTTCCGAATCCTGTGTGGTATTGACACCCAACATATTGCGTTGTGCCGCCAAATCACCGGTAGACAATTCCACTATCTTAACTTTAACATCATCATCCTCGTATTCATCTTCATTGGCCTTATCGGCATCCGTAAGTTCTTTGAGAGGTTCATAGGATTTCTTCATATGTTTAACACCATCTTTGATTTCTTGACGAATACGCTTACGTTCTTCCTTAAGGTTACGTTCCAGCTCTTCCTTGGCACGTTTGCGTCTTTCATTTTTTCTCTTACGAAAACCTGTGAGAAATTCCCTGTAAAATTAATAGTGTTTTAATTATGTATTACTAAAATATTAAGCTAAATTACTTACTTTCTTTTCTGAGGATCAAAAACAATTTCTAACTTCTTTTTAGGCGCCTTTTTTCGTGCCATTTTTTAATATTTTTAATAAAATTTTTAATTTAAAAGTACAATTATTTATTTATGTTTACTTTTGCAGCTAGCACATGTTATTTTTACAAAACTGTCAAATTAATGAGTGTTTTTCGGTTTGAGTGCTTTTTTCTATAACATATACATAAGCTGTTTATTATGAAAACGTTCATTAATACTAGCATTCAACTTTTGTTTATATTACAATCAGAGACTACGGCTTAAGCCGACTAAGCCTAGCCGCCGAACAAAATGTCAAAGCCGCCGCCGCCGAAAATTTTTCAGCTTAATACGGCTTGAAAATTTCGCCATATTTTGTACAATTTACAGAATACTTTCGCTAAATTTGTGGAATTTTACTATATAAAATTAATTTGTTTTCATTTAAGCAAGTTTTCTTTTATCTAATAATAAGCCGCTCATTGAAATTTGGCCGGTGTAGAACTTTGCTCAACGTTCGTTGTACATGCTTCGCCTCAGATATTTTCGTGTTTTCGCGCCTAATTCGAGTCGCTGCTTTGACTTCAAACCAGCTTCGTTGACGTCAACGGAGCTACACCTTTTTACATTGCTGGTATGTCATACCGTAAAGGGCTAGGGTATCGAACATGTGTATTTCAAATGGGAAGTGCAGTTGATGTCAATTCTGCCGACTGCGAAAAGAAATTCTGCTAGAATATTTCGCGCCAAGCTGTTTTCTGCATTTTTTATTTGCCACAAAAAATCTGTTATTGTGTGTGTGCGAAAATGATATTCTTTAAATAAAAAAATAATTTTTTTGTATGCTATATGTACTACTATACCGAGGGTCATTGTACAAAGAAACAGCAAGTGTTGGGTTGAATTTAGTTAAATTGTTAATAATTATATGGGTTTGTTTTCGTTTAATACCCAAAAGTGTTTATCGAAATCTATATTTAGCATATTTGTGAGATCTAGAAGATTACAAAATGTAATCATGATGGTCTCCTGGAAGAATGCCAACATATATACCTCCCTAGTCACCTAGGCGGGTGGTGGTCGGTCGGCTAGTGGTGACATGGTATATTATCACCTAGAGGCAATGGAAGGAAGCTGATTGCCGTATTCAGGGGGTATCCTTGAGATACATACTTATTATTATACCATTGATCTTAGCAGAATCACTACCATACACCCATAATAGAGCGCGATGTCTGTCAGGTGTGCCTTTCAGTGAAGCTCTTGTTGTCTCCAAACACTATGGTGTCCGAATATTTACAAGAAACAATTGTTAAGCCGTCTTTTATACAAATTTATAGCTTTGTAGAGAATGTCTTCACGGACCTAGAGGATATAACCTGGCTAGGTATGTAGATGTTGTTTGGCCAAATATTACTAACTTGTGGGCTTTATGTCGACTTTAGGTCCCTTATAGTTGTCACACTATACCAAATAAGCATTCTTGCTAGAATTAAAGTTTAAAACAAGTTTAATTCCAGTCAAACATTCAAATTTCAAGTGTTGAAATACACTTTAATCCAATAGTATTCTCCAGTGAAAACGAAACTTGAATTCAAGTCGAACATTACAATGTTTTTACAGTATAATTCAATGCACGAAATCTATATACATAATACATATATAAAATTCTAACGTTACTGCCTGACTGACTGATTCATCATCGTAGAGCCTAAACGGTTTTAGCTAAAGAGCTAAAATTTAGACAAGAGGTTGGTCTTCCGCCAAATAGATCCACTTAGACGGGATTTTTGGAAATTCGAATGATTAGGGGGTTAAAAATGGTAAAAACGGGTAAATTCGGTAACCTCATATCTCCTAAACTATAAAAGATACAAAAACAGTTTAAAGCTTATCGTCGTTCATTTAAAAAATAAGCGGACAGGTGTCTGGTACTTTTTTTAAATTCGGCCCCTTTAGGGAATAAACGGGTAAAAACTGTATTTTGGTACTTTTTTCGCACCCCATGTATCATTTAAACCAGTGCACATTCAAAAAATATTTTTGAATCCTTCATAACTTGACGAAAAAAATAAAAATATAAATTTAGTATTTTTTGGATATTCGGACGTTTAAGGGGTGAAAATTGTACCTATTTTTGGTACTTTTTTATAAAACATTGTTTTTGGTTTATTAACTTATTCATATGAATACATAATAACGGGCTCCCAATACGATGTTGCAACTGGTACTTTTTTGACTTAGAACTTAGAAACATGTAATTAAGCACTTGAGAATCTATAAAAGTGGACTTTTTGGTACTTTTTCGTTCTTCAAAAGGTACTTTTTGAGTTTTCTATTTTTCGTTCTTCGACTGGTACTTTTTGAATTTTTTATAATATTGAACCTAGAAACATGAATTTAGGAATGTACAGCCCGGATTAAGTAATAACATATAAAAGGGAACTTTTTGGTACTTTTTCGTTCTTCAAAAGGTATTTTTTGAATTTTCTATAATATTGAACATGGAGTAAGTGAGAACATATAAAACGGGACTTTTTGGTACTTTTTCGTTCTTCAACTTGTACTATTTGGATTTTCTTTTATAATGAACCTAAAAACATAAAACTAAGCAATTAGGGACTTGAGTGAATGAAAATTTAAACTGAAGTATTTCTGGCAATTTTTCGTTCTTTAACTGGTACTTTTTGAATTTTCTAAAATATTGAATATATAAACATAAAATTAAACACGCAGTATCCTAATTGAACGAAAATTTATCTCGCTTACGTTCACTAAAATAGGAAAAGTCTTCCTTTAGAGTTGCGAGTTTTCATACATTTTAATAATGTTTTCAAAGTGAAACTTTTGGAATATTTTTCAATCTCTTTGTGATCCCTTTAAATGATGTTGTTCTGGAAGAACTTTAACATCCATGTAAACATTTTGGGTAATAAACTGGGGGACTACCAATGAGGGGAGCGGAACCTCCCATATGAATTAAATACAAAAATTCGTTTATCTGGGAAACTAATATAACTAAATTCTTCAAATTTTGCACGAACAACTTTATCTGAGTTTATTATAGATAAATAGCTAGTAAATAAACAAATAAAATATCTTTGTTTTTACGTTATTGATCATTTTCTTAATGCAAAATTTTTTAGAAACTGATTTTCTGCAAGATGTTTTATATGGAAGATAGGGTTAAATATCGGCAGATCCTAGTAAAACTTGGAGAAAGGATTTGTTTTTAATTTTTAAGAATTTTTTATTCATCCCTGCATAATTTCTCATGCAACTTTTGAGTTTGCTCTGTTTTGTTGTTATAAACAATATATTTGCTTCCAAAATCCTACTTTCTGATCTCTCGGATTCCGTTTTTATTTAAAATCGTTGAAAAATTAAAAACTAAACGTAGTTGAAAACTTAGCCGGCTTACAGTCGATTTTAAGCCGCCGCCGACATATTTAGTGTCAGTCGCCGGCGCCGTTAATATTTGTCGGCGCAGGGCTCTGATTACAATGACATTTATTATATTTATTTCGCGCCATAATTTTTCGTGAAGTGTTGTGTTCTACATAATAACATAAATATAAATAAAAAAATAAACATTTAATGCTTATTAAAGCAATTTTTTATTAACAAATATTTTAATTATACATAACATTTATATTTTTACAATATGGAAGTGGAGCAAGCAAATACAAGTGAACAAAATATCAGCATGGAAGAGTTAAAAATGGAGGAAGATGAAAATGTTAAAGAAATTTCCATGGAAGAGGATATTTTGGGTGCTCAAAGTTTGTTAATGTCCGAATCGGAAGAGGAAGGTAAAGAGGATAGTATTAACAAAAAGAACAAAAGTCCACAAAAGAAAATTGTGGCCAAGAAAACTAAACGCATCTTGGACAGTGATGATGAAGAGGATGTGGAAAACAAACCAATGGATCCTGAAGATTATCAGACAGAAAAATCAGTAACTAACAAAAAGAAGATATCTACCTTAATTGATTCTGACAGTGAGAATGATGAAAAAGAATCTTTGGATAAAGAAAACAAGCAAACCAATAAAGTGGTGTCTAGCATAATAGATTCTGAGGAGGAAACTGAAGTTAGTGCCAAAGTAAACTTTAAGCAAATCAAACAGAATCAGAAGAAAAAATTCAAAGAGAATAAAAAATCGAAACAAAAAAGTAGACATTCTGCTGAGGAAGATCATACAGATACAGAGAACTCTGATACACAAACAAAATCCAAGAAATCAAAGAAAAAAAGTAAAAAGACGAAAACGCATAGTAATTCTGAATCGGAGGGAGAAACAAGAAATGAATCCAAGAAAATTTCCTCTCTGGTAGATAGTGAATCTTCCGATGCTGAATCCCAAACCGATGTTAATGAATCCGATTTGGAAGCTTCTGCTAGAGAAGCAAATTTTGAGGAAAATAATAATAATGAAGAAAATTCAAAAGGAAAAGAGAAAAAACCCAAAGTTATGAGAGTAAGTACAAAATTGTAAAGTAGTTTTTGTTATGTTACGGTTATATATATATATTTTAGGCCTCTGCCAAGAAAGCTTTGGATGAAATGCAAGCCATACAAAGCGAACAGCAAAGATTACATCGAGAGGCTCATATAAGGTATAAAAATTTATAAGGAAATTAAAAATATGTATAGAAATCGAGAAAATTGTATAATTTGAATTTTTGTTAACTTCTGTAGTATTCCTTATCACAAACCCAAAAAGCATACCTTAGATGAATTTCTGAAAAGACGCACTATAATACAACCGCAAACATCTAGTCCTGTTGCAAACGCTGTGCAATCAAGAAGACTTAAGATGACAGCCGAGGAATTAGAGGAATATGCGTAAGTTTTTTTAAGTTATCGACAAATTTTTAACTATAGGGCAAAGTAGATAGATAGATAGATAGATAGATAGATAGATAGATAGATAGATAGATAGATAGATAGATAGATAGATAGATAGATAGATAGATAGATAGATAGATAGATAGATAATATAGATAGATAGATAGATAGATAGATAGATAGATAGATAGATAGATAGATAGATAGATAGATAGATAGATAGATAGATAGATAGATAGATAGATAGATAGATAGATAGATAGATAGATAGATAGATAGATAGATAGATAGATAGATAGATAGATAGATAGATAGATAGATAGATAGATAGATAGATAGATAGATAGATAGATAGATAGATAGATAGATAGATAGATAGATAGATAGATAGATAGATAGATAGATAAATAGATAGATAGATAGATAGATAGATAGATAGATAGATAGATAGATAGATAGATAGATAGATAGATAGATAGATAGATAGATAAATAGGTAGATAGATAGATAGATAGATAGATAGATAGATAGATAGATAGATAGATAGATAGATAGATAGATAGATAGATAGATAGATAGATAGATAGATAGATAGATAGATAGATAGGTAGATAGATAGATAGATAGATAGATAGATAGATAGATAGATAAATCTTGAGATTTTAAAGCAGTCTTATTAATAACATTTAAAAACATCTAGTAAACTAATGGAAGAACGCGCCAAGGAAGCAACTGAATTCTTTAAATCCGAATCTGAAAGTGAAGAGGAAGAAGTTTTTAAAGACAACGAAGGTGTTCTAGACAAAACAGCAGCACCTGCTGAAAACAGTCAACAGAATCACGAAAATACACCAAAGGAAACATTAGCTGAGACAAATGATATTGAAATGCAACAAAATGTTGAAACAGAAGAGTTTAAAGAAAATCTAGATGGGGTACAGTTAACTGAAGAGGAATTGGCAGAGCTTTTGGCGGAACAGGAACATGAACAAGCTGAAGAAGAACCCGAGAGACCTACTTGTTCTAAAGTTCTTATAACTGAAGTAATTGAATTGCCGAAACTGGACATGAATACGGTACGCATAAGTCCCGTTAAGAAACATACACCCCGCCCCTCTTTGAACATCAAGCAATTGTTGGCTGAAAAAAATCTATCCGGTAGCCCCTCACTTAGTGGTGATCCTAATAAATTAATCGATTTAGAAACGGGAAATTTAATCGAAAAGAAATCTACTGGAATAGAAAATCTTATGGAACGTTTAATGTCTACAGTTAAAGCACGCAAATCGAAAACCTCCGAAGCTTGTAATATACTATCGGTGGAAAATGGCAAGCTGGAAATATCGAAGGTCAATATAAGTATAACGGAAACAAAAGATGTACAAAAAGAGCCCAAACCAGGAGCTGCCTATTTTGAGTTGAAAAAGAATCTAAAGGAGATAATCAAAAAGAAACGTTTAGAAGAATTGAACAAGAAACAAGAGGATGAATTGGAATACAGTAAGTGTTTGGCAGATGATGATGAAGACGAGGAAAATAATGAAAATGAGGATATGGAAGTGGAAGAATATGAACCGGAGAATAAACCAAAAAATAAAATTGTTATGGTAAGTAAAAAAGTATTTGATAAATTTAATAAATTGAAACTAAATTCATTACAAAAATAAAGGTTGATGACGAGGAGAATGCTTTAGTGGTAGAGGATGATGAAAATGAAGACGAGGAAGAAGATAATGTAGTGGAGATTAACAGCGATGAAGAAGAGGCAGAAAATGAAGATGAAAATAAAGACGACGAGGAGGAGGACGATGATGAAGAAGAAGAAGATGAAGACGACAACGAAGACCAGAATACTGAACCGGTAGAAAAATCACAACGTAAAAATCGTATCATCAAAGCATTTGTTGATTCGGACGAAGAAGAAGAAGGTGCAAATGATGATATAGATTTTCTTAAAACACAACCACCAACTACACAACCATCTCTCTTCGATACCCAAGCTTCGGCAAAAACCTCTCTGGTAGATGAAGAAAATGAATTGCTGGCTTTGTGTTCCGGCACATTTGATGCCACACAAAAAACTTCAGTTAACAACGCCTTAATGTCACAAATACCACTAACACAAAATAGTGGAAAACCGGTCAATGATGAAGAGTTAATGGAATTGTGTTCGGGAACATTCGACCAACCTACACAGACTCTGCAGCCAACACAAATCAATTCCATTACAGAGAATCCTAAGACAAAGTGCAATAAAATTGTATCCAGTGATGAAGAAAACGATGAAGGTCAGTTGGATAAGAATGAAGAAAATAAGCAAAGAGTTAAGAAATTAACTAAGAAACTCAAGAAAAAGAAAGCAAAACTGGGATTTTCTGATGATGAAACAGAGGAGGAGGAAGAGAAGGATGATGAAGAGGAAGATTTGGAAGAACAGGAATTAGATGATGATGTGGTGGAAGTTGAGGAGGCTGAAGAACCAGAAACTTTTGTGGACTATGATTCAGAAGAAAATGAAGTTATAGTGCAAATGACTAAAAAGGACAAAGTAAAACAGGCCCAAAACTTTTTCGAAAAAGAAGCTGAACTTTCCGAATCCGAATGGGGCAGTGCTGATGAAGATGAAAAGAATTTAGACAATTATGATATTGAATTGGGTGATGAAGACGAATTTGACAAAGAAAAATTGCAGACAGAATTGGGACAAATTCATGCGTAAGTTAATTAAAATTGTAAACCCTTAAAATTCCATACATTTACTTTATTTTTTATAAATTTTTTTTAGACGCAAAATGTTAGATGAGGATCTACGCGAAGTACGTAAAATCCAAGAAATGCTATTCGAAGACGAAGAAAAAGATGGTGTGGGTCGACAAAGAACTTTTAAGTGGAAAAATGCTGAAAGTGGTTTTAGCCTAGACGATGGCCGTCCCTTAGATGAAAATGCTGATGGACAAAATGGTGATAGCGGTGATGAGATCAGTGAACATCAGTGGCGTAAGATACGTTACGAACGTGAACAATTTCTTAAAGAACAGGGTCTTAAACCCGACTCTCAAGATATGTCTACCGTATTGCCCAATACCACTATACCGTCACTCAACAATAGCACAACAACGAGCACAATACCGACGAAAAAGTTACAAATAATAACTGCAAAAAAGACTTCAGTATCCCACTCCTCAGATTCTAAGAAAGCTTCACCTTTCCTTATATCAAAAGGTATTTCGTCCATGCATAAGAAAAGCGTACGTGGATCATTTCTGGTGCGCGACAAAGAAACTCTTAATAAATTGGCTGGCCTTACAAAAGGCGCATCTGCCGTTGCTGCCTCTGATATGGATGATACAGCTGGTACTGTTTCCATTAAAAGTATTAAGCCCAAAAATTTTGTCTTTGCTACGCTCACCGAAGAGGAGCATGAAAACCTTAAACGTAAGGCCGATGATTTGTTGAATAGTAGTAATGAAAATGGTAAAAACTTTATGAAGAAACCAAGAATTGAACCGCGTCGCGATAAATGTTTTATAGATCAATTATTATAAAGTGATTGGTATTTAGCATTAGTAGAAGTTATAGAATATCGCGGGTGCTTGATCAAATTTTATTTATTTGATTTCTTAGTAGTAGGTTTAATGTGTAAGAATGTATTGTATATGTATGAGTTTATAACTAATAAAAATAAAAGCGACAAAAGCATCGTAAATTACACAAAACATTTTCCTTAAACTAGCACTGAATTAGAACTTATCTAGAACTAAACTGGAACTGAGCTAGAACTAAACAAGGTCTAAACTAAAACTATATAAAATGTGAACTAAAACTGAACAAGAACTAAGCTAGAACTAAACTAGAATTGAACTAGAACAGAAATTGAACTGGTACTGAACAAGTTCAGCTCCCATGTAATTGAATTAACTCCTAGAATGATTTATTTATACCCTCCACCTTCGTGTTTTGTTTAAAATTACATTTTGCAAAAATATATATATATATACATATATATATATATATATATATATATATATATATATATATATATATATATATATATATTTAACATAAATCGAGGTCGCACTGTATTTTGATAAAAAAAAATCAACAAACAGCTGACTATTAGTCTCATGTGTACTTTGACAGTTCGGGAGAACAAATAAAAACAGTTGTTATTGTAATTGTTGTAATATTGGCAACCACCCTGGCTATAACTCTGTATGTCTGTATGCCAATTTACATTTCTTTTTGCAAAGAATTTACATTATTGAATGTACATAAAAAAGTTTTTTTTTTAGAAAATGTTCATTAATTAACATTAATTTAAATGTAAACCAAACTTCTTACAGAGCACAAAAATAAATATATACTAAATTATATGAAAAAATAATCTATACCGGCAGTGAGCAAATCAATCTAATCTATTCTCTCCAAAATGAAAATATAATCAAACTAAACTACTCAACGATTACAAAAAAAAGAACTTCTACACCAACATAAAATATACAATAAACCATTTGATTATTGATGAATTAATATTCAAATAGAAAAAAATCTAATCATTTGTGTAACTAACGTTAAGGTGTTTGGAAGAACTTTCTTTTGTTTATACAAAATATAGAACAATACCACAGCAAGTGCGACGAATGTTTGGGGAATACACATAAATTATTAATAAAAAAAGTTCAAAGGTGAACTTTGAACAGAAATAATACCTATAGAATTGAATTAAACGATATACTATTTCCAAGATATTTTGTGTATTAAAACAGAAAATAACAATGGTGGCTTCTTCCAAATTAAGTCAAGTTTTTACATACGAATCATGGGTACATGCCATGTCAGGAGCTGCTGTAAGTATTGATATTTTTATGTGTATGTACAAATGTACTAAATACGCTTCTATATTATTGGACCAATGTAGCTTAACGTGAAAAGAAATATTAATCCAAATTCTTTTAAATATTTAGGGTGGTTGCATAGCCATGTCAACTTTTTATCCCTTGGATACCGTACGTTCAAGATTACAATGTAAGTTTGTGATAAACAAATCTTTAGTACATAGCATATTTTAAATATATCGTGACCCTATATTCAAAAAGTGCGAACTCAATTTTGGGCAAAGTGAGTTTTTGATGCAAAAGGATTCCTCAATGCATGATCCACGTCTGGTATAAATTTGAAACCAAAAAAGTAATTTTTGCACTTTTAACAACAATTTTTGTTAATATGCTATCTCAAAGTTAAATTTTTATTGAAGAAAATAAGTGCTAACTTCCATACAAATTTTAAAAAAATTTTTAAAACTTCAAATTTATTTAAAATTTATTTTGTATATTAACAACATGCTGAACACAAAACAGGTGAAGATTAATAAATTTAATGTATAGTTTTTAAGATATTATCATTTATATATTTGTATATAAAGCCAGTTTTAGACTTTAAATAATGTTTTTCCGAAAAATGTAAAGTTATTTCAGAAATCGTTTATAACATTAAGATCTATAATATTCTATGGTTGCAATTTATAATTTTTATTATAAAAAAGTCTTTAAATGTGCAAATTATGGAGTATTATTCAAAAAATATTGGTACTTTTTATATTCAAAAACTTTTCATAATTTAAAATATTTGTACTGAGAATAAGGAATAGTAAACAAGCAGATATGCCATGAGTTTTTCTACTTAAATGGTGTAAATACATCTTATTGGACTTATTGGTTTGACTTATATCCCTTTAAAAAAAAAAAAAAAAAAAACATTTCATAAAATTATAAAATAACGCATATTATTAGAAGAAATTTTTGTTCTATTCTTTGAACAAAACATGCTAACTTAGAACAAATATTTATTTTTTTGTCGACCAAAAAGTGCTATCTTAAATAAGTCGCTAAAATGTGCAAAATATTAACATTTTTTTATAGGTAAGAATTAGTAAGTATGTTAAAAACGTATTATGGAAGAAATATTGTCTTTTAGTGCAATATTTCACGAATTAAATAGTTTTTTTGCTTTCCTGAAAACTAGACTTTATTGATTTAGCACTTTTTGAATATAGGGTAACGATATACTATAGTTTAGACTTGGCCAGATTATAGAATATAGTCCATACTGTAGTCTTGGCGTACCTATGGTCTGGACTGTAGGGTAGACTATAATTCAGAAATTCTATATTTTATAACATTCAAAACACCTCTTTTCAGTGGAAGATCCCGATAAAACCGGAGAGGCACGCAGTACCATGAAAGTCATCAAGGAAATTGTTTTGGGCGAGGGATTCCAATCACTATATCGTGGTCTCGGACCCGTTTTACAGAGTTTATGCATTTCTAACTTTGTCTATTTCTACACTTTTCACAGTTTAAAAGCTCTAGCTAGTGGAGGCGATAAACGACAACAGAGCGCTCTAAAGGATTTAATGTTGGGCGCCATAGCTGGCATAATAAACGTCTTTACAACAACACCATTTTGGGTTGTTAATACCAGATGCCGTATGCGTGATGTAGCCGGCACTTCCGATGAAGTTAACAAGTATTATAAAAGCCTTCTCTCGGGTCTACAGTATGTAGCTAAAACAGAAGGCGTTAAGGGTTTATGGTCTGGGACCATACCGTCATTGATCCTGGTATCGAATCCTTCATTACAGTTTATGATGTACGAATTGTTGAAGCGTAATTTAATACGTATTTCTGGTAAAACAGAAATCTCTAGTTTGGGTTATTTTCTTATTGGTGCTGCCGCCAAAGCCTTTGCCACCGTCTTAACCTATCCCCTACAATTGGTGCAAACCAAACAGAGACATCGTACAAAGCATGGTAGCCACAGTGGACCCTCGTCATCAAAACAAGCCACTGGGGCAAATGAAATTGGCATGATACAAATGATATTGGATATAGTAAAACATCAAGGCTTTAGAGGCCTATTCCGGGGCATGGAAGCAAAAATTCTACAAACTGTCTTAACGGCCGCTTTAATGTTTATGGCTTACGAAAAAATTAATAATACCGTTGGTCTACTCCTAAAGAAAACCCCTGCCAAAGTGATGCAATAAAAAAAATAAGAGACAAATATTTGGTTATATACAATGTAGTCATACTTTTAAGGTTGCGGCTGGGAATGTTGTACATTCCAATAGTTTTACTAAACGATTTTGAACTTTAGTTATTGCTGGCCTATTTTTAAAGCATTATGCATTTTTTAAGCATTGATAATGAAGGATTTAATAACATTAATAATGTTTATTGGTAAAAATAAAATTTAATTTTAGTTTGGAGAAACCCTAAGTTTTATTTACATTTTCTTCGCTTGCACTAGTTACATTATTTTTAGCTTCCTCTTCGGAGGAGTTATTATCTTTCTCCTCCTGCTTAGTGAAAGATTCCGCAACGACAGTATTCTCTTTGCTTATATTTGTAGTCTCCGAATCGTTTTCAGGTTTCTTTTCATCCTTGTTGTATTCCTGATTAGCTCTAGCTAATTCCACCAAGTTGTACTTTTTCATGCCCATATAATCGTCTACGACCGACAGGCAACATAAACCTTTAATAACTTCCACAATCAACGACCTCTTAGCGTGTTTCAAATCCACTTTATTTTTTATGTTTTTGGCGTGTATCAAATCGGCAATTTCACGTATCATCTGGTCACGGTTTATATCGTTATTAAATCTTTTATTAAAAACTATGGAAAATGTAGTGGGCTCCTTGAGGAAATACTTGTCACATAATTGTCCGGCGGTATTTACAATATCTTTGTCATTGGCTTTGCACACAGCATCTATGGGCACTAAACGTAAGAGATGACGTGTTTTTTGTTGTTTAGTTTCTGCTATATCCTTAACAATATGGCCTGCCATTGCTACGGGATCATCGAGTGTGGTTTTAATAAAAACGCAATTCGAGGCGCCGGTATCAACAGCTTGGAAGCGACGTTTGCCGGGAGTTTTAATTTTCAATTGTGTGGCATCGATTTGTTTTTGCAATACGTCAGCAATATCATCTGTAGCATGCTCTTCATCATTGGCTTCCTGTTTTTTCTGAGCTATTTGATCATTGCTTACCTCTTTCTGTTCATCTTCCTCTGGACCATACAATTCGTTAGCATACTGATTCAATATATTATAACATTCCCGTACGCAGTCTTTTTCATTGAAATTACAGGTGGCTAGGAAACCTTTGTGACCCACTTCCAAGTATTGCTTCCTATTGGGTTGATAGAATTTTTTCTTGTATTGAAATTTTTGTTTTTTTGCCGGTGGTTCACTCATTTTTTTAACTTTGTCAATTTTAAAAGTAAGGTTAAGTTTTATTATTTGTAAACATATGGCTACAGCCAAGGCGAATTTACATAAGGTGGTAGCTGTTCGGCAACAACAAAATTTCCCATGTAATTTGTTTTTGCATTTGGTTCACGTAGATGTTCAAGGCGAATTCACATAAGGTGGTGGCAGCTCGGCAACAACAACATTTTTCATATGTTTTGCTTTTGGTTCACGTAGATGTTTGTAAATTTAAATTGTTTGTAAAACTTATTTGTTTGTAAATTTATCCACATTGTTTCTAAATTTTAATTGTTTGTAAAATTTGATTGTTTGTAAATTTTAATTCTTTGTAAATATTTAATTCTTTGTAAATATTTAATTGTTTTTAAATTTTATTGTGTGTAAATTTAAATGGTTTTAGGCCTATTGGGTATGCCAGCCATTAAAAATAATTGGCAACGCGTCCGATCTAGTACCTCCACAAAGTATACAGAGGTGTCGCTTTTGCTTGGTGGTGTGGAAAGCTACACAGTTATTAAAATCGTAATCCATGATAATGAAATATTTCTATTTTTCTTTTCTAGCCCATTTGATTGTTTTTTTTTTAATAACTCGGAAATTTATGTTTTTGGCTCAAAAAGTCATCATATCGGTAATCTGGCAGCACTTAAATTGACTTCACCTTATTATTTCACCACGATAACGAAGTTAGCCGCAGTTCATTTAATCGTTAATTTAACGAAAAAATCGGGCTGCGTTCATTTTATTTTCAACCGGCGAAGCACGAGCATCTGGTATTTTTTAGAGAATTTGTGGGAAAATTGTTAACAAAATGGCGTAGCGCGTTATAGAAACTAGCGCTAAGCAATTTTGTACAGTAAACCCTTCTGACAAAACAGGAATTTTAATCTGCAAGCATCCTAGTTTTAGGAAAGATTAATGTTACTTGAAATAGGATAAAGGTAATATATACATAATAATAAAGTAGTTATTGTTAGTATTTGGAAAATTTTTAGTAGGCACGATGTATCTCCAGGGTCATAGAAATTTCTGTGCTTTGGTCGCAATTTTTAACGTGCAAGATTATTATTTTACTGTTCATTTGCATCGTTAGGTGGTACTGAAGCTCATTTGCCCTACTATCACCCTGGAATTACGAGGACAGGACAAATTTTCACTAATTACCTAACCTCGAAGATTAATGTGAATTTCTATATGTGCTAACCTCAATTTTTCATTCGGCTTGTGTCTATTACAGAATTGAATTGAAAATGTATTTGTATAATCTGACCCTACAAAAAGCCACCGGCATTACCCATGCTGTACATGGAAATTTTTCCGGCAGTAAACAGCAAGAAGTTTTGTTATCACGTGGCAAATCCTTGGAACTTGTTAGACCTGACTCGAATACTGGCAAAGTACATACCGTACTCTCCACTGAGGTATTCGGCTGCATTAGATCTTTGATGTCATTCCGTTTGACTGGTGGCACTAAAGGTAAGCAGCCGTTATTATTTTCCTGTTAGTTTCTTATGTACAGGCACAAATCCCTATTGAGATTTCTTAGAAAATTCTGGAATTTCAGTAAGTCTTTGTAAACACGACTAAGTGCTAGAGAAAATATAAAATCTTGGCGTCGCATTTGATGTGATTCATTTAATATCATATCGAACTGAAACTTCGAGATACAATTTATTGTAATACACAAGAAATTTGTACAAATGATTTAATTTGGATTAAATTATGTTGTTTGTTTGCAACTTTTAGATTATATTGTGGTTGGCTCTGATTCTGGACGCATTGTCATTTTGGAATATAATCCGACCAAAAACTGCTTGGATAAGGTTCATCAGGAAACCTTTGGTAAATCCGGTTGCCGTCGTATTGTTCCCGGCCAATATTTGGCCATAGATCCCAAAGGACGTGCTGTTATGATTGGTGCAGTAGAAAAACAAAAACTAGCCTATATACTCAATCGAGATGCCCAAGCACGTTTGACCATTTCTTCACCATTGGAAGCTCATAAATCAAATACCTTTACCTATCATATGGTGGGAGTAGATGTGGGTTTTGATAACCCTATGTTTGCTTGTTTGGAAATTGATTATGAAGAGGCCGATAATGATCCTTCAGGTGAGTTTTTTTTTTTAATATAAAGTGGCACTTATTAGACATGTCAGTTTTTGGGATAATTTACTTGATAATTGACTTTGGCTAAGTGCTAGATAAAAGTGTGCAAACGCTAAGCATCTGAACCATTGGTATTTGTATTTATTTCTTTGCAAATACTTCACTGATATGTTGCTTACATTTTCTAAACAAACTTTTACGAATTTAAGCTGGATAGTAAGTAATATTTGTTTTAAAAGGAGTTTTTATTTCAAACAATTTGAAAGATTTGTTGTTAGATTTTCAATATATATTAAGGTTATCTTAACTTAATTCGATTCGATTATAAAGTGTTTTTATTTGTTTGTTGAAGACATAATTGTTTTCAATTTTTCCTTCGAATCGAAACTAAATAACCTCTCAGGAATAATAGAATCGAATCGATATAAGAATTGTTTCACTTAAATCTTTATTAAATACTTTTTGTTTACATTTTAAAATGTATTTTTTTCTGGTAATCTTTTATTACACTTATTAGACATGCCAGTTTTTGGGATTTCATTTGCCTAATCATTGACTTTGGCTAAGTGTAAGATAAATGTGTTTAACAAAGCTTCTGAACCATTGGTATTTGTATTACTTTCTTTGCAAATACTTCACTGATATGTCGCTTACAATATTGAATATTTCTAGAATGTATTTTTTAAACAATTTTTCTGTCATTAAAAAGAAGTAGTACTTTGACTACTTTTTGTAAAAACGTATCTGAACTAGTTTTTATATTTTTATAAACAAAGAAAGGCGTTAGTTGCTGTGTAATATCAATATTTTGGTCTTTGTAGGCTTTGTATTACAAATAAATGAAATAAAGTCTATGTGGCTATCTGAAAAAATCATTGTAATTCGTTTAAAAGCTGATTTAGGACTCATTTTTAGAAATATACTACATATTTTTTACTTTTTTACTATGCTTAAGTTTTGAAAAAAAGCAACTTCATTAATATCCTTTATGCTCTTTCTTTTAATTTTAGGCGATGCTGCTGAACGTACCCAACAAACTCTTACATTCTACGAATTGGATTTGGGTCTAAATCATGTTGTACGTAAATATTCAGAACCCTTAGAAGAACATGCAAATTTCCTTATATCAGTACCAGGCGGTAATGATGGTCCCTCTGGTGTATTAATTTGCTCTGAAAACTACTTAACGTACAAAAATTTGGGTGATCAACATGATATACGTTGTCCCATACCACGCAGACGTAATGATTTGGATGATCCAGAACGTGGCATGATTTTCATATGTTCTGCAACACATCGTACAAAAAGCATGTATTTCTTTTTAGTACAAACCGAACAAGGTGATATATTTAAAGTAACACTGGAAACGGATGATGATGTAGTATCAGAAATTAAATTGAAATATTTTGATACTGTACCTCCAGCTGTATCAATGTGTGTTTTAAAGACTGGTTTTCTGTTTGTCGCTTGTGAATTTGGCAACCAGTAAGTATACATTTCTTTGAAAAGAAGTGTTTTATTTTGTATATTAATTTGTTTCTTTTATTATAGTTATCTTTATCAAATTGCCCATTTGGGTGATGATGATGATGAACCAGAATTTAGTTCAGCCATGCCTTTAGAGGAAGGTGAAACTTTTTTCTTTGCTCCCCGACCTTTAAAGAATTTGGTTATGGTTGATGAAATGCCCTCATTTTCACCCATTATATCATCACAAGTTGCTGATTTGGCCAATGAAGATACACCACAATTATATGTTTTATGTGGCCGTGGTCCTAGATCTTCTTTGCGTGTGCTACGCCATGGCTTAGAAGTATCTGAAATGGCTGTTTCTGAACTACCCGGTAATCCAAATGCCGTATGGACTGTTAAAAAACGTGTTGATGGTAAGTTTTTTATATAACTTAATATGGTTTTTCTCTCATTAATCGAACTGGCAATCTATAATATACATAAAATATATTAAGAAAATGCAAGCAATTTGAAATGTAACTTCAACTAATTTCTAATTTGTTTGCATTTTATGCCTATATTTGTTTGGTGTTGTTTACTACTTCTCTACTCTATATCATAACACACTCTTTGCTGGTGTAATTTTTTTAAATAAAAGCTGGTGATTTTGAATTTTATCATAAAAAATCCATATATTTTTTTTTCTACTAAACAATAGAATCATATTTTTTTGTGCAAAAAAAGAAAGAATATCAAACACCAGTTCTTTTTATTATTTCAGGCGCTTGAACTCTTGTGTGCTGAAAAAAGCCGAGTGGTTTTGAGATTAAAATAAAGCAAATAAATGCAAAATTAAACCCCAACCCACCAGACATTAGACACACAAGAGTGTGTCTAGTGTTTTGAAAAAAGAGTTGTTTGCACACAAAACTTCCCCTCTCTACTACTTCTTTAATATTTAAACAAAAATATATTTAAACCAGTTACTCAAATATAGGTAAGGCAACATTTTCATAAAATAAAAATAAATTAACATTTAAAAACAGATAAAAAGCTGTGTAAAAGAACAAAAAATAAGCACAGATACTACACTACTACTTACTGATCTATAAAATAAATTTGTTTAAAAGGAACTTAACATATGGTTTTTGTTTTTAAATGATGTGATTTATCACCGTGTTTCAGCTGAATTTATTTGATTTCAACCTTGATATCTGATTATTAACAAAAACAATATTGTTAGGCCTTTATTCAAAGACTTAAATTGCAAAAAACTAAAAGAACAATTAATTAAAATGTAAATTTTCTTTGTCTATTTTTTTCCTCCAACTCTACAGATGAATTTGATGCCTATATTATAGTATCCTTCGTAAATGCTACATTGGTATTGAGTATTGGTGAGACAGTAGAGGAAGTTACAGATAGTGGTTTTCTGGGTACTACCCCCACTTTATGTTGTGCTTCGTTAGGTGAAGATGCTTTAGTGCAAGTATATCCAGATGGTATACGTCACATACGTTCGGATAAACGTGTTAATGAATGGCGTGCGCCCGGCAAAAAATCTATAACCAAATGTGCCGTCAATCAAAGGCAGGTGGTAATAACACTGTCGGGTCGTGAATTGGTCTATTTTGAAATGGATGCTGTAAGTATTTTTCAAATATTAGATAGATAATAGCTAGAAAATATAACTCTGATGACAAAAACACCATTAAGAACAATCGTGTTGAGACACTATGTGTCCTGCAGTGCTGAGTTTTATTTACTTCTTTTTTAATTTTTTTAACTTTTTTTTATCATATTTCTAAAAGTTTTGTTTATTTGTTTGTGTGTTTCTTTGTAGACGGGCGAACTTAATGAATACACTGAACGCTCTGAAATGCCAGCCGAAATAATGTGCATGGCTTTGGGTACTGTACCGGAAGGTGAACAACGTTCTTGGTTCTTAGCTGTTGGTTTATCTGACAATACTGTGCGCATTATTTCTTTGGATCCTAATGATTGTTTAACTCCCTGCTCTATGCAAGCTTTACCCTCACCAGCTGAATCTCTTTGTTTAGTAGAGATGGGTCACACCGAAAGTTCATCAAGTGCCAATGATGAACCCAATGAACGTTCAAATGTACCCTCAAAGGGAGGCACCATATACTTAAATATCGGTCTCAGCAATGGTGTTTTATTGCGTACAGTTTTGGATCCAGTTTCGGGAGATTTAGCTGATACACGTACTCGTTATTTGGGTTCCAGGCCCGTAAAACTTTTCCGCATACGCATGCAGGGCTCAGAAGCAGTATTGGCCATGTCTAGTCGTTCCTGGCTATCATATTATTATCAAAATCGTTTCCATTTAACACCTCTATCGTATGAGACCTTGGAATATGCCTCAGGATTTTCGAGTGAACAATGTAGTGAAGGTATTGTGGCAATTTCAACAAATACACTGCGTATTTTGGCTCTAGAAAAGCTGGGAGCTGTTTTCAACCAGGTTTCCTTTGGTTTGGAATATACCCCACGAACATTTGTCATACATCCCGATACTGGACGCATGATTATAGCCGAAACAGATCATAATGCTTATACGGAAGAAACTAAAAATGCCCGCAAACAGCAAATGGCCGAAGAAATGCGCATGGCAGCTGGCGAGGAGGAACGTGAATTGGCCAATGAAATGGCAAATGCTTTTATAAATGAAGTCTTACCCGAAGATATATTTTCTGCTCCCAAAGCTGGTGTAGGTCTATGGGCTTCACAAATACGTGCATTAGATCCCATACATGGACAAACACTATTCAAAATACCCTTAACACAAAATGAGGCCATTATGTCTATGGCTATTTTGAAGTTTTCGGTGGCTCAAGACGGACGCTACTATCTAGCAGTGGGTATAGCTAAAGAGCTGCTGTTGAATCCTCGTATTACAAATGGAGGTTTTATAGATATTTACAAAATTGATCCGACATGTTCTCAATTGGATTTCTTGCATCGTACCGAATTGGAGGAAGTACCTGGTGCTCTTTGCGGTTTCCAGGGACGTCTATTGGCCGGTTGTGGTCGTATTTTGCGTATTTATGATTTGGGCAAGAAAAAGCTCTTGCGTAAATGTGAAAATAAACATATACCCTATCAAATAGTCAATATACAAGCCATGGGTCATCGTGTTTATGCCTCAGATGTTCAAGAATCTATATTCTTTATACGCTATAAAAGAGCTGAAAATCAATTGATCATTTTCGCCGATGACACCCATCCCAGATGGGTAACAGCTACTACATTGTTGGATTATGATACCATAGCTATTGGTGATAAGTTTGGCAATATGAGCATACAACGTTTACCACATTCCGTAACAGATGATGTCGATGAAGATCCTACAGGCACAAAATCTTTATGGGATCGTGGTCTACTTTCGGGTGCTTCACAAAAAGCTGAAAATATTTCCACCTTCCATGTGGGTGAGATTCTTATGTCGCTGCAGAAGTCTACACTTATACCGGGTGGTTCAGAAGCCATGATTTATACCACTCTTAGTGGTACCGTTGGAGCATTTGTACCCTTTACAAGTCGTGAAGATTTCGATTTCTTTCAACATCTCGAAATGCATATGCGCAATGAGAATCCACCATTGTGTGGTCGTGATCATCTGAGTTATCGTAGTGCTTACTATCCGGTTAAAAATGTTATAGACGGTGATCTATGCGAACAATATCTATCAATAGATCCGGCTAAACAGAAGTCTATAGCTGCTGATATGTTCCGTACGCCAAATCAAGTTTGCAAGAAATTAGAAGATATTAGAACACGTTATGCCTTCTAAGTTGGTTGGCGTGTTGGTGTAATTTATTTATTATTAATAAGGTGAGTAAAGAAAAGAAGTTGTTTATTTTAAAGATGGGGTCTAAAAACTTGTGATTAAAAAAAATATATTAAAAGAAAATTTTGTTATGTACGTGATGATTAACGTTTTTACCTTGGGACACCTATGAATTGTTTTATGATTAGTGTAAATCTATATTAAAACTGAGCATAACAAATTTATAAATAAAATTTAATTCTTTAAACTAGCTGTAAAATATTAAAAACTAATAACATTTATTTATTATTTCTCTTTTTCCAGCTTATTTCTAAGACTTACGTTAAAATCAAAGGATGGAAAGAGGGAACACATGTCGTTCGTAGTGTAGCATAAGGTGAATTAAAGAGTTGTAATTAATTAGTTTATTTACCTTTTATTAACATGATGTTTTTATAAAATATGTTAGACTAAAGAATTTACTTTGATTATAACTTATAACTGATTATTACTTTTCTTAAATAAATCTTAAGATTTTTTAGTTATGACATATCTTTTTAATAAATATTTCGTTTTTTTATTGCAGTTTATTTAGAGGATTTGGTTAAGGCTGTTTAAATTTTGAGAAATTTGTAGAAAAAGGTAAGTTTTTTATAAATACGTATTAAATAACATAAATATTTTAAACACTTTAATGATGATTAGAGATTTTACCTTGGGACACCTATGATTTTAAACCATGATTTGTGTAAAATTAAATTAACTGATAAAAAAATTGTGTTTAAAACGTTTAAGCTATTTAAAACTTTACTTATTAAGTATTGAAATACATTTTAATTTAAATTCTTTATGTTATTATTTTTCTAGTTAAAGGAGTGCACTAAATTAAACAAATTTTACTTCAAGTTATTGTTCGGCTCAACAACAGCAATTCCTTAAAAGGTAAATAATTTTTTTGTTATATTTTATGATAAATTAAAATTTTTAATAAATAAATTAAAAATGATGTTCTACAAAATATGTTAGACTATGAATATATTTTGATTATAAATTTCGTAGCTGATTTCTTTAAAAAAAAAATTATTAAATTTCTATTCATTTTATCCTTAAAGCAATTAAATTAATTATATTTTTATCTTTTCTTCTATCTGTCTTTGTAGTTTATTTTTAAACATCTCTACCAACCATCTCCTGGAAAAAAAAAAAAACAAAAATAAACTTTTTAATGTAAATTTTTTTCATTATTCAATACAACCATACACATGACTGCCAATTCATTAACATAAAACAAAAAAAAACTATTTAGTTTTATAGTATTAACTTTAGTTTTAAATGATTTATGTACTATGTGTAATAAACAAAATATAACTACATACCTAAAAGTGTTTTTTTCTTATTCTCCTTTATACGGACATGTGAAATTGTATTAAAATTACTATATAACAAATAGCTGAAAATATATACTGAAAAAATATTAAGAAAATATCAATAAGTGTTTTAAGTTTAAGAATTTATAAACATTACAGTTCCGAAGAATACGCTTTTTTTGTAAGGATCAAAATCAGAGGATTGTTAATCAAACTAATGTATTTACGAACGTACCCTACTAAACACATTCCCCATTTCTAAGAATATTTACACGTTTTGGGTTTGTGGTGAAGGACAAAACGCGATACCGATAAAACTCTAATATGTATTAATCTTTTTTCACTTACCTTTCCCATAAATGAATAATTTACATCGACAAAACCACCAGCAGTAAAGTAGAGTTTTTGATGCAACATTTGCAATGAGATTTCATTTAAACAAGCATTCAAGAAGGGATCATAGCGTTCGTATTTGATCATATGTAACATATTAGTCAATTGTTTATCCTTAAACAATAACATAGTAGAAGTTAGTTGGAGTTCTATACATATTCGGCTGTGACGAATCTTATATACCCTTCACCATAGTGCGTTTAACAAAACCAACCAATACCTCTTTTATTACAAAAAAAAAAAAAAAAAAAAAACAAGAAAGTATAGTCGGGCGTGGCCGACCATATGATACCCTACACCAGTTATGAATATTAAATGTGATTTATTTTTCATAATATCGCATTTATCTTCAATATTCCCTTGTTCCGATACATTTAAGCAATTTATGGATGAAAAACTAATTTTCTGAAAGAGGCTTTATATGGGGGCTAGGGGCAAATATGGACCAAGCCCGATAAAATTTTGTGAATATATTTATATTTACATAATATTTTATTGTGCTGAATTTCATCGCGATATTTGTGTTTATAAGTTAATTTGGGACATTCAAGTAATTTTCTGAAGGGGACTTTGTATGGGAGCTAGGGTCAAATGGGGCCCGATCTTTATGAAATTTGGCAGGGTTATCAAGACTTCTATAAAACTTAGTTGTGCCGTATTTTATCGATATATCTGTATATTTAACATAATTATGAGCTCAGAAGCCCTTTTCGGGCGGTTCTGTGCTGAAATAATGGACCGATTTTAACCATTTTCAATAGGCTTCGTCCTTGGGTCAAATAAAACGTGCGTGCCAAATTTCATCCAATTATCTTGAAAATTGCGACCTGTAGCTTGCGCACAAGGTTTACATGGACAGCCAGCCAGACGGACGGATGGACATAGCTTAATCGACTCAGAAAACGATTCTAAGCCGATTGGTATACTTTAAGTTGGGTCTAGGACGAATATTTTTATATGTTACAAATATCAGCACAAATCCAATATACCCTCCCCACTAAAGTGGTGTAGGGTATAAAAAATACTAGTGGAAAACGAAAAAGTACCAGAAAGTCAATTTTTAAATATTTTCATTCAATCAGGACACCACATGATCATATCTCTATTATTTATTGACCGATTTTGCTGATTTTAAATTGCGGTAGCATGTCTGACAGAATTATTGAAGCATCCTGAAGATATATGGGGTCTTCAGAAAACTCCTCTACTATAAGGATCCAAAATATATATGGTGAAGGGAATAATAGAAGTATATTACTAAACTAGATAAGAAAATGAAAATATTCGAATTTGTATCTTAAATAGATTGGATTTCGAGAGTGGTTTCTTTCGAATCTAGCCTTGAGTTTTGGGCAAATCGATTTTTTTAAATAAAAATTCGATATTTTCATGAATATTTTTAAATTTTAACTTACCAGCATTTCACATTTCGAGCCAATGCTACAAATAACAAATAATATAATCAAATTTAAAGTATTTACACTATAACCATCTGTAATTTCAAAATTAATAGATTAAAGTTAGAATAATATTTCGAAAAAAAAAATAAACTTACACGACTGAAATATTGCAGGTATATTAAAATCGTAACTGAAATAGATCCAATATGCTGTTATGGTAAATTCGAAAAACATTTTCAAAAATAAACCGGGTAAACTCCAGCAACAATATTCCTCAATATAACGAACATTCACTATTAGAATATTATGCAAATCTTGTAAGATATATATTTGTTCGAAGAGTTCTCGCTTTACAGGCCAATCGGAAAATTGACATCTTCGTATTTCCTTAATATAGTGTTCAAGATAACAATTCAATTCCATTTCAAAAGCCATAACTATTACAACGAATATAGAGAATTCGATTAATTTCAATTTAAGTATTGTGTCACCATACTGTAGAAGTATTAAACGAAACCCATTTAATGATTTTATATAACGTATAAATATAATAAACAATACAATAATCATATATACCGCCAGTAGGGTATACAAAAGAACAGCATATAAACGTATACGACCCATATCTATAGATCTTTGAAATTCACATTTAAATTTTGTACGTAATAATTCAAAATTATCAAAGATTTCCTTATATTGCCAGGCTTTCCATGTATTCTCCCAATATATTACCATATGTACAATGATTAAAGAGGAATAGCTTAACATATCCATGCTAATTGAAAACATATCATTTTCTTTGTACAAAACTTCGTGAAAACTTAAAAAACGTAAAATTGAAATCCATACCAAGAAGATAGCGACGAATGTAAAGTGTATAAGTCGCCAAATAAATACAAGCCATGAACATTTTTGCTCATGTTGAAACTCATAAGGCAGAGCTCCGATCATAAACATTAACAAACGTATTGGCCGTAATGTTATCCTGTAAAGGATGTTTGAACTTCGGTAATTAATGTTGCTGTACATACTGCTAAAATGTAACTAATAATTAGAAAAAAAAAAATATCCTAATAGTAATGAGCACCTCCGTTAAAATGTTTCGTAAGTTGTAATTAATTGCACAGTATAACAAGTAATAAATCATAAATATTTGAAGTTGACATGGCAAAAAAAATCTATACCCTAAAAAATGATGAAACGGCATAAAGTTTAAAGCCGGATTAACAATGCTAGTGTATAGTCCAGTCTATAGACTAGTGTATAATCTAGTCTTGACTATAGATTATAGTCCAGTCTATTGCCTAATCTATAGCTTAGTCTACAGTCTGTCAAAAAGTCTAGTCTGTAGTCTAGTCACAAGTCCAATGTATAGTCTGGTCTATATTCTTCAATCAAAGGTTATTTCATATAATTTGTTGATCTTTAAAAAATAAGTATATGAAGATTTAAAACAATATTTTTATATTTTGCTATTTTTTTTTTTTTTTTCAACATATAAATGAATCACCACCTAACACATAAATACGTCATTTTATAGTGGTAGTTTAAAAAAGCCACATCATAAATGTTTACACTTACTGAAGTCTTTAAGTACAATGTCTATACCCAGCAGTTCGACGGGACAGTCCCGAACTGACCACTTAACCTACCACTTGTGGTGGCCCCTAGCCACCTGACTACCCAGGTGACCAACCATTTTAACATGGGCTTGTCCTACGAGGAAGTCAATCGTCACTCTACACCCTACAAAGAGACAGTAAAGAGACGATTGCCTCCGCTCTCGCTTACAAAGGGGACACTAAAGTGACGATTGTCTTTCGGAAGTACAAAAAAAAAAACAACTTTTAAGAGTATAATCTCTAGGTTACTTGAGGACAGTAAAAAGACGACTGTCTCCGCTCCCGCTTACAAAGAGGACACTAAAGTGACGACTGTATTCATTCTCGATTACAAAGGGTACATTCGTGACGAATGACCCAAAACATACGAATTACGAACATCCAGGTGGTTAACTATTAGTGGAAATTACTGTCTTTTTCGTATGCATTGACTCTTTGTCGAACTGCTGGGTAGATCTTTTTATATATATACATACATATGTATGTATACATATATACATATGACGTGACAAGTGTTAAATATAAAAAACAAGTAAGAAATTATAGTCGGTCGAGGCCGACCATATAATACCCTACACCTGCTACAAAAATAAAATGTGATTTAGTTTTCATAATAAAGCATTTAAGATGAATTGTAGTACCTTGCCTCAGATATACTTAAGCCATTTATTGCTGAATAAAATTGTGAACATTTAAGTCAAATTTTGAAGGGGGCTTTGTATAGGGGTTATGGTCAAATGAGACCCTATAATTATAAAATTCATGAAGGATAGTATAGAACTTGATTTGGCAGCTTTTTGTCGAGATACGAGTATATTAAACATAATTAATAACTTAAAAGCACTATTCGCCGGGTTCAGTTGTATGGGGGCTAGGTGAAATAATGGCCCGATGTTAACCATTTTCAATAGACTTCGTCTCCGGTACCATAGAAGATCATGTGTCAAATTTAGGGTGATCGAATCGATTTTTCAACCGGTTTTAAAACCGGTTTTTTCTGCTTTACCAGTGTCGGTTTTTTCTTAATGTTGATTTTTCGAATATCGAATAACCCGGTTTTTTCACTTTTTAAAAACCGGTTTCGAATACTTTTATTTGCTTTGTATTCAAAGATTATTTAAATGAAATTTTTAAGTAAATAATAATACAGTCCGTCTAAATTTTAAAAATATTCGAGTCGAGGAACTAGCGTATATTTTTCTAAAGCTCCTTTGGTTAAACTTTTTTGATTTTCCTAATTAATTAAAAAATTTATTTGCAAAATTGATAACTGTTTGATAAAATTTTATCAATCTTAAGATTATATTCCAATTAATTTACGTCTGAAATTTTATGGAAGTGTTGGAATGCCTATGCAAATTTCCTAAACAGGGCTTTTAAAATAAGATTACATAGTACCTTATGTTTAACAGAAGTTTCCCACTTTTTTTCCAGTTTTTTTTATATTAAAGAAATAATGTAAATCAGACGACTAGATCTAAAGTTATAATCTTTTAAACTGTTAAAAATCATTTCGGTCCATGTTTTATTAATCAAATTTAAACATAAACATTAAGTTTTTCATATTAAAATATATTTTTTAATTTATAATGAAAAACCGGTTAACCGGTTTTTTCTGAATTTGAAAAATATCAACCGGTTTTTTTTAAATGTCAACTATTCGAACTATTCGAAAACCGGTTTTTGGAAAATGTCGAATAATCGATCACCCTAGTCAAATTTCATTGAATTATCTTCAAAACTGCGACCTGTAGTTCGATTAAAAGGTTTACAAGCCCTATTCAGGGGTTCGAATCGAAATGCAGAATACCAAAGTTGCCAAACGGAGAAAATTTCGATTCGAATTGAAATGCAGAATAGGGGTGATTATTGTGCGTTACAAACATCAGCACAAACCCCATAACAAAAGTGGTGTAGGGTATAATTAATGAGATACAAATAAACATATAGTATACGTGTGTGTACACATCCAGCTAAAAAATATTTATTGCTAATATTTAATATTATTTTATTTTCATACCCATCACCATGATGATGATATTCAACATAAGTTGTCAATACATTAATAATTTTCGCAACTTTTAAAAATATCGTTTATTAACGAAGTGTTTAAAGTAAAAAAAAGTAATTTTGAGTTAAAAATGATTTGTGGATTCTAAAACATGTTATTATTTTTAAAATAATTCTCGTGTGTACGGTTTTAATGTCATCAAAAAGTAACTACCAAATGATTGAACTATTCCAATAGCTGGAAACAATAAGACAAAAATGCAGTAACCATACGTTAAGATAATGTTTCATTTGTTACACTTTGCTGATAAAAACTTATGGTTGATATAAGTTACAAAATTATCCAAGTCTGTCTCGAATGTCCAAAAATCACGATTTTTATTTTTGAATAAGTATTTCCTTTATTTTAATTTCGTAATTATAAAAAAAAAGTGTAATTCTTAAATGTATTTATAAATAGTAAAGAAATAATGAAAACAATAACACACCCAACATTTAAAGGCAAAAAAAAAAAATTCATTTCATTTAAAGATAAATTAATGAGAAGAGTAATTTAGAATTTCTTTCTTGTTTGTTTTTCTTAAAGGCAATAATTTTTCTTTAAAGCCACTTAATATTTATACATTTTAGAAGAGTCTTATTAATGATTTTAATTATACTTTAAATACACTATGTGTATACATACATATATATTTATTTTTGTTAGTAAACAATGCAGTTGATAAAATTAATCATCCTTAGAATTGCCTTTACCACCCTCAGTTGCACCACTGATGGTAATTTTCTTTTGCAATTTGCTGAACTCTTCAGTTAGGCGATCATATTCCTTATTCAAACTTTCGGCTTGCGATTTCAAGGCTTCTTTATCCTTCTTTTCACGATTAAGTTCAGAGGTTAGTTCATGGATGCGTTCTTTCAATTGTGAAATCTATTGTATACAATAATAATAATAATAAAAAATTTTTTAGTTATAATTTAATTTGCAAATTCGTTCGTTCGTTTTTCGTGTATTCATGTAAACAATACTGCAGTAAAACTTAAGAAAATATGTTTTAAAAGTATAACTTATAGTTTAGCTTTTTAAAAGGAAAAATGAAGTTGGAGGATTTGGTTGGGGGGTGGGGTCTTTTGTAATGTTTTTTACGTGTTCCTTCTTTTAATGTTCGAAATTTATGTATATTTGTGTTTTAACATTGGCTGTGATAAACTTGCATTGAGTCCTTGTACACGTCTCCTTAAACTGGAAAGCTGTTGAAATGAGTATTAAAAAATTTTCAAATTATAGGTAAAATAAAACTTAAGAAAACTATGCATGTTTTTTATTAACATTCAAAACAACAAACCAACCATCCATGCAATATAAACAAATAAAAACGTTTTTTTCTTCAAAAAAACAATAAAGTATTTTGTATAGCAGCTTTTCTAATCGAACTATGTACAAGAACTCGTTTTATTTTAGGCAGCAACAACAAAAAACATTAGAATAATAAAATAAAAATAAATTAATGTTGGGGAATGTGTGAATATATTTAGTTCATGTGAATGACACAAAGCGAGAATTTCGGTGTCAACCACACAAGTATATGCACATACATACATATGTATATAATTTCTTCTGGAATACTCACAATACTTAGCATAAGTTAAGTAAATGTGAAAATTAAAAATGTTTGGTCAACATTACATATTTATATCGTTTATATGTTTAATTTACAATTTGAAATTGATTTCCTGAAGTTGTTCCATTATTGGATTTTTTATGCAAGGTCATTTACTGAAATTTGTGTTCAGTATTTTAGAAAGAAGACTTGTTTGCCTAATCATTTTGAAATAAAATTAATTAATATTATATTTTTAGTTCTTTGTCATTTCCCAAATAAATTTATTTGAGATAAATTTCTCATATCATTCTAAAGAAAATGATATGAGAATCAAACCAACAAACTTTAACATATAAATGTTCCGTTTTTATAGTCTCAAAAATACCTGGGAAATTAATTAGCCCATAGTTTAAAATGTCTTTGATAAGCTAACAATAGAAAACTCTTTTCCCCAGAAATTAAGTATATATCACTTATATTCTTTGATGGTTCTACAGACGTCTTTTCAGCTCAGTTCTAGTTCATTTCTAGTTCAGTTCAAGTTCAGTTCTAGTTTAGTTCTAGTTCTGTACTAGTTCAGTTCTAGTTCAGTTCTAGTTCATTTCTAGTTCAGTTCTAGTTCAGTTCTAGTTCAGTTCTAGTTCAGTTCTAGTTCAGTTCTAGTTCAGTTCAGTTAGTTCTAGTTCAGTTCTAGTTCTAGTTCAGTTCTAGTTCAGTTCTAGTTCAGTTCTAGTTCAGTTCTAGTTCAGTTCTAGTTCAGTTCTAGTTCAGTTCTAGTTCAGTTCTAGTTCAGTTCTAGTTCAGTTCTAGTTCAGTTCTAGTTCAGTTCTAGTTCAGTTCTAGTTCAGTTCTAGTTCAGTTCTAGTTCAGTTCTAGTTCAGTTCTAGTTCAGTTCTAGTTCAGTTCTAGTTCAGTTCTAGTTCAGTTCTAGTTCAGTTCTAGTTCAGTTCTAGTTCAATTCTAGTTCAGTTCTAGTTTTGTTGTAGTTCAGTTCTAGTTCAGTTGTAATTCAGTTTAGTTCTAGTTGAATTCAGTTCTAGTCCAGTTCGAGTTCAGTTCTAGTCAAGTTCATATTCAGTTTAAGTTAATTTTTTGTTAAGTTCATTTAGTTCAAATCTAGTTTAGTTGTAGTTCAGTTCAAGTTCAGTTCTAGTCATTCTAGTTCAGTTCTAGTTCTAGTCTAGTTCAGTTCTAGTTCAGTTCTAGTTCAGTTCTAGTTCAGTTCTAGTTCAGTTCTAGTTCAGTTCTAGTTCAGTTCTAGTTCAGTTCTAGTTCAGTTCTAGTTCAGTTCTAGTTCATTTCTAGTTCAGTTCTAGTTCAGTTCTAGTTCAGTTCTAGTTCAGTTCTAGTTCAGTTCTAGTTCAGTTCTAGTTCAGTTCTAGTTCAGTTCTAGTTCAGTTCTAGTTCAGTTCTAGTTCAGTTCTAGTTCAGTTCTAGTTCAGTTCTAGTTCATTTCTAGTTCAGTTCTAGTTCATTTCTAGTTCAATACTAGTTCATTTCTAGTCAAGTTCGTATTCAGTTTAATTTATTTTTTGTTAAGTTCATTTGTTCTGTTCTAGTTTAGTTGTAGTTCAGTTCTAGTTCAGTTGTAATTCAGTTTAGTTCTCGTTGAATTCAGTTCTAGTCCAGTTCTAGTCAAGTTCATATTCAGTTTAAATTAATTTCTTGTTAAGTTCATTTAGTTTTAGTTCAGTTTAGTTCTAGTTGAATCTAGTTTTAGTTCAGTTCTAGTTCAGTTCTAATTCAGTTCGAGTTCAGTTCTAGTTCAATGCTAGTTCTGTTCTTATTCAGTTTAAGTTTATTTTTTGTTGGGGAAATTATTTCCCTTTAAACTGACTTGCGGGCGGAGGAACGGAACTGAATGATAAAATCAATATACATACATACATATGTATGTAGGTGCACCAATATTTTTTATGTAATAAAGCGTATTACAGCCATATATACCTATTTTATATCTTAAATGTAAAAATATATCAAAAATAATGTTTATCTCCCCTTATTTGCTAATAATAAGAGGAGGGACAAAAATTCTATTTAACCTATTTAAATGCCAAAAACAAACAAAAAAAACCTTTAAATATATTCACACATTCAACTCGCAAATAAGTAAAAGTAAAAAATGTATAGACAACCATATTGTTGCATTTTCTAGTTTTTAAAATTTTTAAAAAACATACCTCGCCCAAAGTACTATCTTCAGTTGCTTCTTTAGCTTTCTCTGTAGTTTTTTCTGCCATCAATGATTTTACGGCAGCCGAAGCCGATTGAGCTTGTTTCAAAGAGGCTTCACTCTGTGCCAAAAGATTGGCTTGTGCCGAGATTAAAGTTACCAGACGACGAATAACTAATACCAAGAAGATAGCAAAGCCCGAAATATAGAAGTTACGCTGAGCACGGAACAGGCGCATACTGTGCTGCATTTCCACATTTAGATGGACATCGGAAGTATGGTCGTGGTGAGAGTATTTACGCATTTCACGTATGGCATCCAAAAGGAATAACACTAAGACGCCCATGATAAGGAAAAAGTATAGATGAGCCTGTTGGGCCAACATGGCCAGAAATTTTGATTTGAAGAAACGATTCCATTTATAGGGACTGGCAATTGGTAAAACCAATAATAGAACTAAAGCTATTTCGGCATACAGAAAGCCAGCAATCAAAGTCCAGACAAGACTCATTTTTGTTCGTTTATGGTACTTCTATTGTGTATTTATGATCTTAAAATAGATTTTTTATAGTGTTCTGTTTTTCGTTGGCTATTTCCACTTGACTGCCTCCAAGAAAGCACGGTAAAACTAATTTAAAAGTAAATTATTTTCAATTTAAGCAGTTTTTAACACGTCTTGTTATTAATTTTAATAAAACATAAAAAAATGTATGAGTAATTCTTACTTTATATAGTTATTAACTTTTTAACTTGGCTGACTTTATTTTCGTTGCGTTTTTATTTTCTCATCATCAAACTGATGAAATATTTTGAGATCCACGTACTTAAGCTTTTTTTAGGAAAAAAAATTAATTACCTCTTGTTGCTACTTCACCTTTGTTCGTCTATTAGTCACGACTAGAGTGAACGAAATAAAGATATACAATTTAGAGAAAACCGGTAAATTTTGTATATATTTGTCTCGTTCTAGCATTGTTTATATTACAAATAAAAGCTTTCTCATTCAAGTGATGCCAACAGAATTTATCGATTTTATAATTAAAATCGCTTTCACATATCGTAGAACAAGTCAAATTTAATAAGGGGTCAAAGGAGAAATTATATAATTTTTTATATGTAGTTTATATTAATATGTATTAATTATAAGTTAGTGTCGTCGGCAAATTTAGAAAAATAGAACGAATTCATTTAATTTTCTATATGTATATGGACTTTGGCAGTATGCCTACTATATCCTACTTATTCTGACTTCTTGCAAGAGAGTTGTTTATTGTTGACTAAATAGTCGACTTCGGCGTTTTCTAAAAAAGTTCGATAGTTAGTACGAACTAAAGAGCTGCAGAAGACAATGATGACGCACACGACATTTTTTTTTTTTTTTTTTTTTTTTTTTTTTTTTTTTTTTTTTTTTTTTTTTTTTTAACAAATTGTTGCTAAAGGAGGTGAATTTTGACCCCAATATGAATGAAATTGAATCAGTATTTGCATATGAAATAAAACATGCCACTTATGAAATGAAGGACAGAAGAACACCTAAGGCTTGGTGGAATAATGAATTGGTGAAATTATTTCGACTTCAGCTTGCAGCTCGTAAAAAATGTGACAAATACCCGACAGTGGACAACTTTAATGAGGCTACGTCTGCAATATCGGTTTGGAAGGAGGCTGTTATTACTGCGAAAAGGAAATCCTATGAGGAACAAATTCGAAAACTGAATGAACATCCTAACTCTAGGGAAGCCTGGCGCTTTGTTGGTAGTATTAATGGTGGCAACACGCGTATCTCATCCCCTTGGAATAGCGACAACAACCAACTTTACTTACAATTTTTAAAGGAGCAAGTTCCTGTAGATGATTCTTCTAACTGTACCCATGTGATACCGGATGTCAACATTACTCGTGCATGGGATGATGGTAACCCTGCGTTTACTTTTGAGGAACTTCAGCATGTTCTACACAACAAAACTCATAAGTCTGCTGGTGGAGTGGATAAAATCACATATGATATGATCCGTGCGCTTCCGGACTATGCTAAATGCTCCCTTTTAACTGCCTTGAACGATGCTTTTTTGGAATCTAACGTTAGCGAAAAGTGGAGGACGATTAAGATAGTACCAATACCGAAAAAGGACAAGGACTTGTCGAACTATGAAAATTTCCGTCCAATTGCTTTGATATCTGTATTACTCAAAATTGTCAACATGATGATTAAGGAGAGGATGACTGAATTCATCAACGACAACTCCATTATTCCTGAAGGAAGCTTTGCCTACAGAAAAGGAAAATCATCGTCCATGTGTTTAAATGACTTCTTACACAATGCTGCAACACTGAAGCATAAGGGCTTTAAGGTCACTATTCTAGTCCTTGATATAAGCAATGCTTATAACTGCGTGAGCATCTCTATTTTGATAAAAATTTTAAACAGCCTTCAAATCCCTGAAATATATGTGGAATGGATTACGAATTTCTTATCGAAACGTACTCTGAAATTGGGCGACAAAACTATTACGGTTGACAATGGGCTTCCACAAGGAAGTTGCTTATCTCCAGTGCTTTTCAACTTGTACACAAGAAGGTTACATGAAATTCAAGATGACAATACCTTATTGTATCAATTTGCTGATGACTTTACGATTGTATCATTTGATAAAGATTTTGATTTGGCTGTCGAAAATTTAAGGTCCAAAATAGGTCAGTTTATGAAAATCTGCAAATCCCTGAACCTATCGTTTAATCCGGACAAGACAAGGACTATGTACCTTGCCAAAGGAAGCATAAAGAAAATTCAGATCAAAATTGACAACAAGGAAATTGAACAGGTTAAGAAGATTAAGTTGCTTGGCAGAACTATTAATGCGTCACTCACTGTTGGAGAACACTATGATCGAGTTTTATCTGAATCCAAAAGTGGTATTGGCTTGATAAGTAAATTAACCACCATAAAAAGTGGTTTATCGCCTAAGGTTGCTTTGAATTTATACAAAAGTTTCGTTCGGTCCAAAGTGGAATATTCCAGGACTACTGCTGCTCACACACCGAATTCAATCAATCGCAAAATAACAACATTTCAAAATAAAATTCTTAGAAGATGTCTTGGACTGAAAAGATCTACACCGATTCAGGTAATTTATGCACTGGCTGATGAACTTCCTCCTTCCGAGAGAAGTATTTATTTGACTGCGAGGGAAATAATGAAACTCAAGGTACAGGAGAATCCCACATATGAACTGATCACTGATCATCCTAAGGTCAAATCGAGCTACAGCAATGTTTATTATGAGTTTAAATCTATTTTTGATCGAGTTAACACAGGCTGTAAATGTGAAAAGAATAACGGTTTTACTGCTTATACAAATCTACTCCCGGATCGGAAGGATAATATTCCAACAGAGCAGAGCAGGGCCTTGGCCAATTACAAGCTACGCGAATATGAAAACAATGGATTCAAAATATATGCTACTGATGCCTCCATTGGCGATAATGCAACTGGTTGTGGAGTTTTTGAGATCCACTCGGGCAACAAGTTCTATTTTAAAATTGATCATCCGACTTCCAGTTTATTTGGTGAATTATGGGCCATCATCAAGGCCACTGAAATCGCAATACAAAATGATGTTAGAAAGGTGGCAATCTTCACGGACAGTATGTCAGCGTGTCGACTTTTAAATTCCAATACGATTGATAATTATTGTGCTGCAATTTTTCACAACAAACTTGACCAATCTTATATCGAGCAATTCCATATGATTTGGATCCCTAGTCATGTGGGCATAAGAATAAATGAAATGGCTGACGAAATAGCCAAAATGGCAGTGGACACTGGTGATGTAATAGCTGTTGATCTCACCCCTCAGGAGGCGCTACGGGAAATCCGCAACACCCTGCGCAATAAATGGAACGAAAGATTTTCGGACATGTCCAATGGTACTGGTAAACTTTTTGCTGAAATTTTTCCATCTATTCTGGAAAAACCGTGGTATTCGAAATGTGATTGGTGTCCTAAGGACATAAAGACTATGAATAGATTACTATCTGGTCATGTATATGACGGTAAATACTCGGACAACGGCTACACATGTTCGATCTGTAATGTTGATAGGACTCCTCAACATTTGATTTTTGAATGTTCAAAATTTGACAACATTAGGAATAAATTTTCCATCTTCAAATCTTATGGCAATTTGCAAGTATTGCTCAAGACCAGGAATCTTGAAATTTTCAAACTGTTAATATCGTTTATAGATGAAGCTAAAATTGAGCTATGAATTTCTTACAGTGTGACAACCTGGCAATTTGAGTATCTACTCGCCAACCATCAGCAGAACCAAAAAAAAAAAAAAAAAACAAATTGTTGTGTTATGCAGGCCTTCAGTTCGAACAATAACGTTTTTGTGTGAACAGTAAAAGATTTTTTTTGAACAATTAGCAATACTGGCAGCATGAGATTTGTTGTTGTTTTTGAAATAAAATTTCATGTTGTTATTTCTTTGGTAATTAATTTTTAACCTATTTGTTGTTGGCATTTAAATATTTTATAATTAATTTTCGTCTTTTATTTTCCACTTACCTCTTTAACATTTTTATCTTCCACGGCCTCCTTGGCCTTTTCAACTTTTGTATTTTCACTCATAATATTGCGTACAGCTGTCGAAGCTGATTGGGCTTGTTTCAAAGAGGCTTCACTTTGTGCCAACAGTTGGGCTTGTTGGGAAATCAAACTTACTAAACGTTTTATAACCAAAACCAGGAAAATAGCAAATCCGGATATGTAGAAATTACGTTGTGCTCTAAACAAACGCATACTGTGTTGCATTTTCATATCCAACTGAGCCTCCTCGCCCAGTTCCTGTTTGGAGAATTTTGTCATTTCACGTATGGCCTCCAATAGAAATAGGACTAGAACACCAATTAAAATGAAAATATATATTTGAGCCTGTTGTGCCAACATGGCTAAGAATTTGGATTTGAAGAAACGATTCCATCTTGTTGCACTAGCCACAGGTAATACTAATAACAAGACAATAACGATTTCCGTAAATAGGAAAGCATCAATTAAAGTCCAAACAAAACTCATGTTTAGTATTGTAAAAAGGTTTTCACTGAATGTATTATTTACTAGCTGAGGTATTTAATCGTACTAAGCTGAGCACACAAACTAAATTATTTAACCTTTGTATTGTATTTTGTTGAAACGGTAAATTATAGAGTCGTTTGTTATCATTTTTTGTTTAAAGCTTTTTTTGTTGTTTTTGTTTTCAAATACAACAAATTATCTAACGTTATGTTTTAGTGCATGGGTAAGCGATTAGATAATTGTTAAAAATTAATAAACTTTCTTTAAAACTTAAAATGAATTAATTAAATTAAAGATCAGCAGTATTTTTTATAATTTAAAAAATATCGACTTCGAATTTAATTCATTGGCAGTAGCAATCGACTTATGTCTATATACCATGGTTGTCAACCGTTATCGTTATGCTATCGTTGCCACTAAAAAATGTCTTTTCAGCACTACTAGCATTGCCGCTAAAATACCAATACCGAAATAAGTATAAAATATCTATACCAAAAAAGCCGAAATACCATTACCGTTGTTCTATTAAAAATTCCAAAAATGAAAAAAATGTCAGAATGCTAAAAGAAACCATTTTAATATACAACCGTTACCGCTACAATCCGTTTCCGAAATATGTTTCGGATAGGTTGCAAACCTTGCTATATACTACAAAAAGACGATTTTTAGAACTCTAATACCTAATTGACCAAGGCGAACGTATATTTGCTTCAACCCTCTGGAGAGGTTCAACATGCGACCTCCGGACTAGAATACTAAACAACAGAGGCACCCAATTTCTTTAAAGCCGATGGCATTGATTCTTTTGAAGCTAAATTAAAAATAATGTGGCAACACTAACCACACTGTTACCAGAACAACAACAATGTAACATGCTTGTTTTTTATTTATAAACAAAATCGGAAAAAATAAAATTTTGAATTTTTCAATTTCATTCTCTTCCCACTGAAATAAATACAAAGTAAGCACAATAAAATATCTATATTTCAAAATGTCCTACGAAAATTGGTTGAATTATTTAAAAAGTGCCGAAAAGAATTCCATGATTAGCGGTCGTTGCCGCAAAATTTTCTACAAATTCCCCGATGGTCAACAAATGGCTGAGGAATACAGTTTAGATACGGGTGTAGTACAAAAGAGAGCCTGGCGCAAAAGTAAACAACTAATGGGTGAGCCCGAATGGGAAGTTGAATTGGGCGAAGATCCTCGACAATTGGCCGCAGTGAACGACACTAGTGATTTACGCAACGAAGATGGTAGTTTTACCGTTAAAATCAGTAATACGGAACCAATATTAACGAAACGTATAACAAAGAAAAATATCGAATGGCGCATTAGAAATCTACCCTATAGCATAGAGGTGTATCAAGTCCAAGCGGACGCGGAAAAAAGAGCCATAATAGTGAAAACCACTAATAAAAAATATTACAAAGTAATACCTTTACAGGATTTAGATCGTTGTGGCTTAGTACCAACTCAGGCAAATATATCTGTACATCATCAGTACAATACTTTAATAATAACTTATAAAAAACCTGAGCTATTATGTGAAATGGAGGCGCAAGTTTTATTGCTTTTAAAGGAGGTGGAAACTGAAACTGATATGGAAGAATTATTACAGGATTTATTGAAGAAATAGTTTTTAAAACTAATTTTGATTTTATTTTAATTTTATACTTACATATTATATACATATATTAAACAGAGAGATCACAAATAAAAAATTTAAATTTTGCTTATTACTTTTGAAAATTTTCCACTAAACCACTAGTTGAGGCTACATCAAAAGCGCTATAATCAAAAGATGGCAATTCTAAAGGAGCTAAAGAGGGCAAATCATCATCTGTGCTTAGCAAATGATTGTCCATTAAGCTTAAACGTCTTAAGTTGGTTTCCAAGTTTTCCGCTAACATTTCTTTGGTATTATCGATGGAAAGTTTAGCTATTTGCTCTTGTGTCATTTTGTTGCCATCATTGTTTTCCTTTACTGTCTGCGTTTCCATGCGCTGTATATTTTCCATCAACGTACTACCATATTTATCATTGAACTCTTTAATTGTTTTATCTATAGACCTGGCAATCGATTGTGCATTCACAATATCTGTTTTCAAATTATTACTATTATTGGGGGCCACTTCAATTTGCACCGATGGAACAATTTCTTTTGATTTCATTCTTTCATATTGTATTTTACGCATTTGAATTTGTTTCAATTTACGTTCATAGTCCCATTTTTGCGTATTCAATACTTCCAGGGCTTTGGGTATCTTTACGTTTTTATATGCGTCATCTAAATACAAAAGTGATGTTTCTATTGCCTTAAAAGCCTCCTCGTAACGATGTCTTTTGATTAACTTATCAGCTCTTCTTTCGTGGAAATGGGCCTGCGTATTTTGTTATAAATAATTACTACTTTTTTAGTTTTAAATTAAATAAAAATAATTACCAAATTTAAAGGTGCACAATCCATTTTACTGTATTAACATTTATTTATTGAAAAATGTAAATAAAACAACAGGAATGGACTAGTGGTTACAATTGTACTTTTTATGGTGTACAATTTGCAGCTACAAAAAGTACCACTTATTCTAGTGACTCATTTTGCAAAAAGTTGTACTTGTATTTCACAAAGTCGACTTTTCATAAATTTCAAATAAGAAAAATTTACGATACCCGTTAACAAATTCGGAAATTGTGCGTTTGATCTGCCCTGGTGCCTTAAAAATGGTTAAGTATGCCAAGATTGGACTCGTAAAAGTAACAAAAAAGATATGTATTTGTTATGCATACAAAGAGTACAGTCATCACTTTATAAATACCTTTGTTACAACAGTATTTTTTATAAGGCTCTGGTTACACCGCTATATATAGCTATCGACTACTTAGTAGTCATTGACTTGTCAACACTATATTAAATAAACCGGCGTCTATTTTTTCCATATTTTTTTGCAAAAACAAGGTAATTTTGTTTGAAATATTTTTAAATAAAACACTAATAATTAATTTATTTTGTAGAAAGTGTAAATAACTAAAGATAATGGCGGCTTCTCTAGATGGTGTTTTCCCCACTACTTTACAGGAGAAAATTAAATCTTCCAAACTGTTGGTGGTCGGAGCTGGCGGTATTGGTTGTGAAATTTTAAAGAATTTAGTATTGTCAGGTTTTCCAGAAATCGAAATTGTTAGTGGAACTACATTGAATCTAATAAGATTACAGTAATTTAAAATATTCCATAAACATTTGCTTTTTTCCCAGATTGATTTGGATACCATTGACTTGAGTAATTTGAATCGTCAATTTTTATTCCATCGCGAGCATGTGGGTAAATCCAAAGCACAGGTGGCTCGCGAAAGTGCTTTACAATTTAATCCGGATGTAAAAATTAAGGCATATCACGATAGTATTATGGCGTAAGTCTACTTTAAGAGTTAATAATTTAAGAAATACTTCCTATAATTCCAATGAATATGTTTCCCTTAGAACTGACTATGGCGTTAATTTCTTCAAGAAATTCGATGTTGTCCTTAATGCTTTAGACAATCGTGCCGCTCGTAATCATGTTAATCGTATGTGTCTAAATGCAGAAGTGCCTCTGATTGAAAGTGGCACAGCCGGCTATAATGGTCAAGTGGAATTGATAAAGAAGGGCTTAACTCAGTGCTATGAGTGTACCCCGAAGGCGGCCCAAAAGAGTTTTCCTGGTTGTACTATACGTAACACACCATCGGAGCCAATACATTGCATTGTGTGGGCTAAACATTTATTCAAGTAAGTTTTATTTGTGGCGAATTGATCCAAATTCTTGGGCTTAAATTTGGTCTGTAATGTTCTATAAGGATGGATAGATAGATAGATAGATAGATAGATAGATAGATAGATAGATAGATAGATAGATAGATAGATAGATAGATAGATAGATTGAATAAAAAGCTAGATAGATAGATATATAGATTGAATAAAAAGCTTACTTATCTCATTACGTATGCAAATTCAAAAATACTTTTCCAGTCAACTTTTTGGCGAAACAGTCGATGATGAGGATATATCCCCTGATGTTGCTGATCCCGAAGCACAAGCTGAGGGTACAGAAGAAAAAACTGCTGCTGATGATAATGCCGGCGGAGATAAAGAAATGAAATCTGCTGATGATAAAGAAACTACAGTACCAAAGGATGGTAATGTGGTACGTGTAAATACTCGTCAATGGGCTAAAGACAGCAATTATGATGCTGAAACACTTTTCAATAAATTCTTTTATGATGATATTAAATACCTTTTGTCGATGTCCAATCTCTGGAAAACCCGTAAACCTCCCACACCCATCAAATGGGATAGCATTTTGTTGAAAAAAGGTGAATCGGAAAAGGAAGATGATGCCTATATGCGTCAATATCACAAAACTTGGTCTTTAGCTGAATGTGCCGGTGTTTTCGCGGACTGTTTAAAGAAATTGAAAGCAAATCTCGAAAAAGTAGAAGAAGGGGATTCTTTAGTATGGGACAAAGATGATCAGCCAGCTATGGATTTTGTTGCTGCTTGTGCTAATATAAGAGGATATATCTTTGAAATTGGTCGTAAATCACGCTTTGAAATAAAATCCATGGCAGGTAATATTATACCAGCCATTGCTACAACTAATGCCATCACAGCTGGTGTAGTGGTCTTGCAAACATTTAAGGTCTTACAAAACGAATTGGATAAATGCAAGTCCGTTTATATGCGCTTAAGACCAAATCCACGCCAACAGTTATTAGTTCCCGAAAAGTTCCTTACCGCTCCCAATCCTAATTGTTATGTTTGTGCTGCCGACCCGGCCATACATTTGCGTATCGATACCAAGCGTATGCATATTAAAGAATTCCGCGATGAAGTTTTAATAAAAACTTTAAATATGGTCAATCCGGATGTTATAGTAGATGCAAAAGGTGTGGTTGTCATCTCGTCGGAGGAGGGAGAAACTGAATGCAATGAAGGCAAACTATTGTCTGAAATGGAAATAGTTGATGGTGTCTTACTAAAATGTGATGACTTCTTCCAGAACTATGAACTAAGCATAATTATCGTGCATATTGATGCTGAGCGTGACGAGCCCATGTTCGAAGTTATTGCTGATAAAAATCAGCTTAAACCTAAGGATGAAGCAAAAAAAGAGACGACTTCTGCAAATGATAAAGAAAATGGTAAAAAAGATGATATGGCCGATGGGCCCTCTACATCAAAGAAGGCGCGTATTAGTGAAGTTATTGAGGATGATGACGATGATTTGTGTGTTATAGAAGAAGACGATGATGATGTGGTCGAAATTAAAGAACCATCGGAGGTAACAGCGGAACAGGTGACTGCCGCTACCGATAAACTGCAAGTAAAGAGTCCAGAAAAACCTGTTGCCGTCAAACGTAAACCAACAGATGACGATGTTACAGAAGTATTGGATTCTGAGGATGAAAATGGTCCATCTCAGTCGAAACGTTCTCGAACTACTGCTCCCGAAGCCGGCGGAGAAGTAATTAATATTGACTAGAGTTTTTTAATATATATACTACATATTCCAACTGTAAACTTTCTTAATTTGATTAAAAAAAACAAGAATTCATTTAAATAAGAGAAAATAAAATCTGTATCTTTTGTTACAATAAACTAAGATCGTCCAATAATAATTTAAAAAGTCTACGGTGTTTTTTATTTACTAGTAATAAAGACAAAACATAATTTAATTTTTAGTATAATAATAATCATAATAATATTAAAAATTTATTTTTATGTAAACTATTAGTAGAAATTTATAACCGATTAAGACCTATGTGGGCTAGGTTATTAAAATAAATTGTTATTCAAAAAATCGCTAAAAATCTTAACAAAAAAATCACTAAAATTTTACGAATAATAGCTAAATTTACATCACTGATTAAAAAGGCTGTATTGAAGAAGAAGACAAAGTGGAATTGTTAAAAGGTTTTTACAATTTCATATATTTTAACTAAAATAAACATAGAAATATAAGAAAATAATAATCAATTGTATTCCAGATGTCGTTTGCCACAAAAATTTGTGCCTCATTAATTCACAATGGCTTTAAACAACTGGTCGCCCCTGTGGCTGACACAACTACACGTAATTTTCACATGATGGTTAAACCTCTGCCGAAAAACATTACGGAAACATCGTCATTAACCCAAAACCCAATTGCTAGCAGCGTGCTATCACCAATATCCGTAGTCAGCGGTCTACAACGTTTGCTCGCTCCCGTCTCCTCATTGATTAATCAGGTTGCTGGTTTTAAGGTTAAGGGTCGTCTAAAGCGTCGTTGCAAAGATTGTTATATTGTTGTACGCCAACAGAGACATTATGTCATATGTCCAACACATCCGCGTCACAAACAAATGTCGATGAAGAAACGCGACTATAAATCATGGATTCTCACTCATGCCACACAATCGAAAGTAAGGCCCTATTAAATTGAGTTGATCGTGTTAAAAGTTAATAAATTTTCTTGTTGAAATCCATATTAGTTGAATTTTAAATGCAATATTTAAGATGTTTTTATACCCTCAACCACCATCAGTGGTGATAGAGGGTATATATAAGTTTGTCATTCCGTGTGTAACACCAAGAAATATTCATCTAAGACCCAACAAAGTATATATATTCTGAGTCCTTATCAAATTCTGAGTCGATTTAGCTATGTCCGTCTGTGTAAAACACGCTCACGTTAAAACTAAACAAAATAAATCAACCAAATTCACCAAAATATTTATTATTATCCTAAGCAGTTTGGTATTGAAAATCAGCCAAATCGGTCCACAACGTAAAAAGTTATGAGTATAAATTTCAGGCTACCTCGAAAAAATTACGTTTTTTTTTATAATTCTTTTGAAGTTTTTCAGAAACTACCAAAGATATTTCGATGAAATTTGTCACACATTATTTTGTTCAAGATATTTACAATCGATCGAATATTTCCCATAGCCCCCATACAAAGGTATATATTCCCGGAAATTAGTTTATCGTTAATAACTCCCTCAAATATCAAATAACACAAAATTTTTTGCAAATATAATATGAACAGAAATCATACTGTCAACGCAGATCTCAGTCGGTACACAATTGGACATAGCTCCCATATAAGGTCCACTTTCGAAAATCACCTAAACGCATATATTTCATTGATATTTTCCATAGCCCCCATACAATGGTATATATTCCCGGAAATTAGTTTATCGTTAATAACTCCCTCAAATATCAACACAAAATTTTGTACATGCAAATATAATATGAACAGAAATCATACTGTCAACGTAGATCTCAGGTCGGTACACAATTTTTCATAGCTCCCATATAAGGTCCACTTCCGAAAATCACCTAAACGCACATATTTCATTGATGAATAAAGCTTTTGTGATAAAATTCGAGCTAAATATGTTTTGTGTACATAAAAATCAATCTACCAAATTTTTTACGGATCGATCCATTATTGGTCATAGCTCCCATATAAGGCCCACTTCCGAAAATCATTTAAAAGCTCATATTTTATTGTCAAATAAATATGTTTAGTCTAAATATGAATATGTTTAGTCTAAATATGAATCACTCTAGGAAATTTTTTCCGGATAAGCCCATAATTGGATAAAATTTGGCACAAATATGTTTTGTGTAAGGTCATAGCTCCTATACATTAAGTCCACTTCCGAAAATCACCTAAACGCACATATTTCATTAATTAATAAATCTATTGTAGTAAAATTCGACTTGAATTTTTTTTTTTTTTTGGCATATAAATCATTATACGAAATTTTTTCCTTATCGGTCGATAATTGGTCACAACTCCCATATAAGGACCATTTCTGAAAATTACTTAAATGCACATTGACAATCAAAGTTATCGGGATAAAATTCAACACAACTGTGTATTTTGTATATATAAATCATTCTACGGAATTTTTTTCCGGATCGGTCCATAGGTTGTCTTAGCTCCCATGTAAGGTATACTTCTGAAAATCACTTAATACCACTTAATTCGTAATTAAATGATTACATCCGGATAAAATTCAAAATGAATAATGTCTGTGTACAGATAAATCATTATATTAAAATGTTTTCAAACTGGCCTATTAATATACATTTTTCTCGACCTAATTAAAATTAGTTTGACATATGGGCAATTCCATGAAAAGGTAAACCACGACTGAAAAAATAAAACCCCTATAACTTCTGCATTTTTTAAGATAATACAGATAAATCATTATATTAAAATGTTTTCAAACTGGCCTATTAATATACATTTTTCTCGACCTAATTAAAATTAGTTTGACATATGGGCAATTTCATGAAAAGGTAAACCACGACTGAAAAAATAAAACCCTTATAACATCTGCATTTTTTGAAGATAATTCAACAAAATTTGGTATATGATCTTTTGTAGCACCAAAGACGAAGACTGTTGAAAATTGTTGAAATCGGTCTATTTTTACACCTCGCCCCCATACAAACGGACCCGAAAATATCACTTTTTAGCTCATAATTCTGTTAATTATAATACTATCCCTTCAAAAATCGGTAGATCTAAAATGTTTATAAGCCTAAACGATTATGCCGATATTCATAACGATTGGACCTCATTTGAGCCTAGTTCCATTCAATGTTTAATTTCAGAAAAACACTTAAACGTCCGTAACTCACCTCTAATCACTAGTATTATGATAGAATTTGGCACAAGTTTTATATGAATTAAAATCACACCCCAAAATTTTATGAAGGTCCATATTTGACCCTAGTCACCATATAACTCCTGTTTTTTATTTTTATCTATAAATTGCTTAAACATGTATATAGGTCGGCCATGTCCGACTGCACTTTCCTACTCCTTTTTATTTGTTGAAGTGTGTGTATGCATATATTTCCAAAATATATATTTTATAACCTAAAAAAATTCAGGAGAAAAATCTGTCACATACGATGTGTCACGTACGATATTCAAAAATTAAATCATTATAAAATTATATTAATTTTTTTATACCCACCATCAAAAAAGATGGGGGTATATTGATTTTGTCATTCCGTTTGTAACACATCGAAATATTGGTCATAGACCCACAAAAGTATATATATTCTGGGTCCTCATTAAATTCTAAGACGATCTAGCCATGTCTGTCCGTCTGTCTGTTGAAAGCACGATAGAGTCCGAACGGAAAGAGCTAGAGGGTTGAAATTTCACATAAATATTTGTTATAGGTAAGGTTTGTCTGGTATTGAAAATGGGCAATATCGGTCCACGTTTTCGGATAGCCCCCATACAAGTGGCACCTCGAAAAGCAGCTTTAATAGCCATAACTTGTTTAAAAATATGAATATGGCAATGAAATTCGGATATAAGTAAGTTTCTTATGATCCGAAATCACTATGCAAAATTTTATGAGGATCGGTTCATAATTGACCCTACCCCCCATATAAGGTCGCCTTCAGAAAATGACTGCAACGCTCATTAATGGTTTAAAAATATGAGTGTAGCGATGAAATTCCACACAAATAAATTTAATACGAAACAAATTCTGTCTACCAAATTTATGAGGAGCGACCCATAATTGACCCTACCCCCCATATATAAGGTCCCCGTCAGAAAATTACTTTAACGCTTATAACTGGCCCAAAAATACGAGTATACAGATGAAATTCGACATAAGTAAGTTTCATTAGAGTCAAACGAGGTTTGATGGTGGGTATATAAGATTCGGCATAGCCGATTACGAATGAAAAATATGTCCCACAGTGTAAGAAATTAAAACAAAAAAGATACACCTACAGAATTCGCAGATTTTCGTAAATATTTACATGTACTTTAAAAACTATTCCGTTTTTTGTCACGTATGATATCGCCATATTTTAATCCATATTTTGGAAAACAAGGTTCCGAATGGGATGATTCCTTTTGGCAAATATAGTATTCTTTAAATGAAACAGAATGACAAAATTGTTTTTCAAGTACTCCTAATTTTACAAAATCTATACCACTCTGAAGTCGTACGAATGTCAAATACAATCGTATGGAATTGCCCATATGCATAAATGTTAGTACCCTTAATACGGAAACAAAAAATTTTGTCAATTTATCTAAAAATGAGATAGTTAAATGGGTTTTAATAAAAAGTAGCTTGCTGGTGGATTTTAACAAAGCCGTTACAATTCTTAGAATTTTGAGAAAATACAAAACATAAGAATTTAAATTTGGTTTTCCAAAAAGATCAATTAGTTTTTATATTACAGTAAACGGTTTATAACACATAATGTGCATTTAAATTGGAAATATACATGTACAATAGTATTACCTGTTAGAACAAGCTAATTGGTGTTAAACAAACTTTAAATTCTTTATACCTGGTAAAGTACAATTCTTAGAATTAAAAAAATTGTACCTGGTATTTAAGCAAAATGTTTCATATAAATTGTACTGTATATTAATATTTAGCAACAGAACTATTTAGTTAAACACAAGCAAAACATTCATTATTGTTTTTAAAAACAAATTTTAAAACACAAAAATAACGTTATTACGGAAACGGAAAATTAAAAAATAATACATTTTTTAAACACCCGGTGTTGAGAGTGTTATCACAACAAATTGTTTGACAGTTTGTAAAAAACGAAGAAGACAAGTAAACAAACCGTGTTTATTAGCATTTAGTTTATTTACGGACAATTTTGCTGAGATACCCCGCCTTTTTCAGTACCACCTCAGCAAAGTTCATATAATAAAAAAAACCGTTATTCGAAATTTTTTGCTGAGCTCAGCAAATTTCCAAATTAGCTCAGCAAATTTCCAATATTATTGGAAATTTGCTGAGGATGACGCAAAAACACAACCCTGGGAGTATATAACGGAAAACTGAAAAATAGTACATTTTTGAAACACCCGGTGTTGAGAGTGTTATCACAACAATTTGTTTGACAGTTTGTAAAAAAAGAAGAAGACAAGTAAACAAACCGTGTTTATTAGCATTTAGTTTATTTACGCTTAAAAAAAGTTCATAATAATTAAAAAAACTATAAAAATGAAAATCGCTGTAGAAGGTTGTGCTCATGGAGAGCTCGAGAAAATCTATGAAACAATAAAGGAATTGGAAAAACGCGATAATATTAAGGTTGATATGTTGATTTGCTGTGGCGATTTTCAATCCACGCGTAATATGGAAGATTTACAAACAATGGCCGTTTCCCAAAAATATCAAGATATTTGTACATTTTACAAGTAAGTTAAACAAAATAATCATAAATTGTATAAATTTTTCAATTATAAAATGTATTTCTAATTGCAGATACTATAGCGGGGAATTGAGAGCTCCTATGTTGACCATATTTATAGGTGGCAATCATGAGGCATCCAATTATTTGCAAGAATTACCTTATGGCGGCTGGGTGGCCCCTAATATCTATTATTTGGGTTATGCTGGTGTTGTCAGAGTTAATGGTCTCAGAATTGCGGGCATTTCTGGCATATATAAAGGCCACGATTTTTTACGTGGACGCTTTGAGTTTTCGCCCTATACGGATAGCACAAAACGCAGCGTTTATCATGTGCGCCAGTTAGAGGTGTTTCGCTTGAAACAACTTTCGGGTAAAATAGATATCTGCATGTCACATGATTGGCCCAAAGGAATTTACAATTTCGGTAATAAACAACAGCTAGCACGTTTTAAACCATTTTTACGCGAAGAAATGGATAATGACAAGTTGGGCAGTAGACCTTGTGAAGATTTGCTTAATTTGTTGAAGCCTCAATATTGGTTTGCTGCTCATTTGCATTGTAAATTTGCCGCCGTTGTGCCTCATGAAAATGAAAACGAAATGAAGGATGACCGAAATGAAGAAGACGACACCAACGTTAAACCGTCATTTACAAAATTCTTAGCTTTAGACAAGTGTTTGCCTAAGCGCAGATTTCTACAAATTCTTGACATCAATTCGGAAAATTATACAGATGATGAGGGTGACTTACGATTTGAATATGATTTGGAATGGTTAACTATTTTATATTTGACCAATCATTTGATAAATGTCAAAGAAGCCTACTATTATCTACCCAATGAAAAGAGCACTAATGGTGAACGTTTCAATTTTACACCCACCGAAGAAGAAATGCAACATGTGCGACAAAAATTCGAAAATGATTTGAAAATTCCACAGAATTTTTGTCGCACAGTTGAAGCTTTCGATCCGGCCACTTATAGCAAAGGACAGCATTACAAACAGCCAAAATCACAAATTAATCCCCAATCTTTACAATTCTGTGATACATTGGGTATTGATGATCCCTTAGCCTTGGCCATGCTAATGGGTGGTCATGAATTGAGTCATTCGAGTACGCTCGATAATACACAAGATTCAGCCTTAAGTGATTCCATACTACAAGATGATCAGCAATCAACTAGTCTAAATACTTCAAACACATCGGGCGCGTGTCTAACAGCCAGTAGTCCTTTAAAACGTAAAAGTAATTCGGGGTTAATTTTGCCTAAACCGAAATCTGACGAGGGAAATGTTTCTGTTAATACAGAAGAAATAGCTTTGGATGAAGAGACAGAAACTGTTGAGACAAATACAGATATAGTGGTAGCTGTTGCATTGGAAGAGACGCCCGCTATAACATTAAATGAAAGTAATGCAAAACCTCCAATTAAAAAATTTAAAAGGCGAAATCAGGATATTTATCAGGATAATGAAGAAACGGAAGAACTAAAAGCGGCAGCGTAATACAATAAGATGTAGCAAAAATTTTACTTTTAAATGATTTCTTATAATGTCCATTATTATTTTTAAAAAATAACTTTTTGTTTAATTTCCTTATATTACAACCATTATGTGTGTATATAAATAATATAAATTGGCGACCAAACTAATAATTTCTAGTTTTTTTTCTTCAATACTTGGACCACATTTTTTACAGTTTCCGTTGGTTACTAGATTTTTTCTTTAAACTTGTTTATTATTGATGCTAAATAAATAATACATTTGGAACGTATACATTATTTAAAGTAATCTTTAAACCTATATATACATCGATTTATTTACTTATTGAGTGTGATGTTTGAACTTTATTTAATTCAATTAATAAAGTACAACTCCTAAAATAACAAACAAATAAACACAGACTTAAATAATTATTTGGCTTCTGTTTTACATCAATTCCTAAGCGTTTTTCCACTAATGTTATTAGTATTCAACTTTTTTAAACGTACGCTAATTATGGCAAAACACTATACGCTTCCTTGGAACAGAGAAATGCGGTTTCCAAAACGGATTCATGAGCTTCAGTTGTGTCACAATAGTATGTTAAGGGAGCAGGTATGCGCTGAAGTATCGCTAGTGTTCGTGGCTTGTTGGCATCGCCACCACTATCAGCCTCGAGGTTGGGCTTTGTAATCGCTTCATAAAAATTACATCTTCTGGGACCAATACCGGGCACATCGGCATCATAAGGCGGGGCTAATATATCGAAAAATGCTGCCACACCTCCTACGGCTGTGATTTCATGATAATTACATTCTCTAGGCGTTAGCAAGGTGCAGTCCATATTCGGTTTCATATATTTTACCTCTTCCTTTATAACGTCTATCTCTTTTGTAATCTGCTTGTTGTTTAACGTTTCATTTGCTTTCACATCCTGTGTATAGGATTGTATTTTCAATTGACCATGCAAAACTTTAAGTAAACCGTGCATACAAGGATGATCATGCAGCGGCATCGTATAACCTCCGCGCATTATAAAGACACTCATGGAAACGGTTTCGTTTTCGAATATATGCATAAAAGTACATGGTGCCCTGCCCGGACGCAAAAATAAATCATCGTTAAACAACTCATCCTGATTGATTTGTATGTCCCGGTAGGAAAGTTGATCTGTCAACTGTTTCAATAAAGTTAAATTACTTTTGAACGCAGTCTGATTGGCTCGGTCGAAAGTTTTCAAAGCCTGTCGTAGTACATTCACAAAATGGGAGGACATTTTTCCATAAATGCACACAAAAAACAAGAATTTCAAGAACCTTTCTTTTTTTTTCTCCTTCAGAAGATGTTTTACAAATGTCAAAATATTTGTTTTTGTTATTATAACCATGGTATATTAATAAGGTAGTGTGGTTAACAGAGCAGCTGATTGTTGGCACTTTTAAGTGTAAGCATACGTCAAACTCCATATATAAAAAATAAAATGAATTCGCCGCGTCGAATAAAAAAGAAGCATTGCCAGGTGTAAATTAGAGTAGACAATTTGTGCTGGTTCACACAGGAAAACTTTTTTGTGAAACTATTTATGTGAGAAAAAATATACGAAAATTGTTCACTTTAAAATGGAAATGAAGGTTTTTCTGTGAACTACAAGCAATAAAAAGCATGGTAAAAAATTTATTTTTTATAAAAATAAATAATTTAAATTATTATTTTAAATATACATTTTTTGATAAAAATGTAAACAATAACAAACTGTGACAGCTACGTAAACCAGGCGAATTAAGAAAACATTTTCAGCTGATTGAATAACAACACCTTATGGAAATTCGCCTTGGTTTAGTACATCTTCCAACCGTCTGTCAAAAATTAATAAACCAGCTGATTGGGTAGTTTTAGTTCTCAAAAAAAAAAATTAGCATTTTTTTTATTAAAAACAAAACTAAATTATCATTAATAGCACATGCAAGAAACAACGAAAATCAATTAGTTATTAAAAATTAAACATTACGTACAAACTAAACAATAGTTATTTTAAGTTATGTATGTGTCTGTATAAAAAAAGAAAAACGTAAGAATAGATTCTTGCTAAATGAATAACTATTTGTTTAATGCTAATCATAAAAATACCGCCACGACATCATTTGCCTCTGCCAGCACATCCACGCCGCATCAACAATATTCTTATCGAGAGCTAAACAGTCACAATAGTACTCCTAGAACATCCCATCAACGTCCGGGAATGTATAGTCGCGACTGGCGTTCCGCCTTGCGGACGCCACCCACATATCGTATAGGCAATAGAACAGTACGTTTTAATTATCATATAGCAATGCTTATCGCCGGTGTATGTGCACTATTCATACTATTTTATTATGTGCGCGGCAGTACGTCTTCCTCGGATGCTGCTTGGCTAAAAAATTATGCCAGTTCTACCAGTGGTCATCGGGTGGGGGCGAGCAGCAGTAGCAGTATTATTAATAGTAAAGCCATTGTGGAAGATGAATTTTCTTCTTATAATAGCACATATCCCTTAACTCAGCCCATAGTAGGCCGACCGGGAATGATAACATTTCGCATTGCCATGGTAGCTGACTTAGATACCAATTCAAAAGTTGAAAACAATGGTGCTACCCTATGGAGAAGTTATTTAAAAAAAGGTCATCTCACATATATAACATCAAAAGATGAAATTACCATTAATTGGGATAGTGGTGAACCGTCTGTGCTCGAATCAAGTTTTTCCCTCAAAGGCCGTGGCATGGAACTCTCCGAAATTGTAACCTTTAATGGTAAATTGCTAAGTTTTGATGATCGCACTGGTTTGGTTTACGATATAACGAATACAGATAAACCGCCTATACCTTGGATAATACTACTCGATGGTAATGGTCACAGTGCCAAAGGTTTTAAATCTGAATGGGCTACCGTCAAAGATCGTTTGCTGTATGTGGGCTCTATGGGCAAGGAATGGACAACGGGGACGGGAGAATTTGAAAATGAAAATCCTATGTTTGTTAAGGTAGTTACACCTGCAGGCTCAGTTAGATCTTTAGATTGGTCGTATAATTTCAAACGTTTACGCCAGGAGTCATCGCAAATAAGCTGGCCGGGCTATATGATACATGAGAGTGGCGTCTGGTCATCAGTTCATAGAAAATGGTTCTTCCTGCCCAGAAGGTGTTCAAAGGAAAAGTAAGTAGAAACTTAAGATATTTGCATTTTTACTAACATTAAAAGGGCGAAAATGTGGCCTGGTAGTAGTCTTTAGTGTAGTCATAGTATTTAGTCTAAAGTGTATTCACAAGCCTTTAAAAAGCGAATAAATTTCATACGTATTTTTTGTAACATTATTCTATTAACTAATTCCTCTTTCAAAGATACAATGAAACGCGCGACGAACATATGGGTTGTAATCTTTTAATCTCAGCCGATGAAGATTTCAATAAAATCGAAACTGTGCCATTAGATTCTGCTAATACTCAAACCACTCACGGATTTTCTTCGTTTAAATTCATACCCGGTACAGATGATCGCATAATAGTAGCACTAAAAACCGAAGAACTTAATGGAAAGACAACAACATTTATAACAGCATTTGATATACATGGTAAAACGTTATATGCCGAGCAACATATTGAAACGGAACTGAAATACGAAGGATTCGAATTTATTTAGTTGTTAAATTTTAAAATATCTTCTTGTATCATTTCGTTTTATATTGAGTTCTTATGTTTTTCGCCCGTGTATGTTGATTTGTAATTTATTAAATCAAATTTTATTTAGATGATATTTAAAATTATGAATTATATATTTTTAGACTATTTAAATATGTGTATGTACAATAGTATTAAGTTTTACCTTTTTGCCTAATGTGTGATTTATTTTTTAACTTAAAAAAGAAAAATGGTAAAAAACAGAAACCATCTGATTCCTAAACAGAGTAGTAGTAATAAAAACAAATTTTTAAATGAAGAAAACGATCATGGTGAACAAATGTTTTTGAATTTTTAAGTGCGAATCTGAGGGGAATAGTTGCAATTAAAGTGCTATTGTAAAAAATAAGTGTATTTTGAAAGGATGGTCAATATTTTCATCGGTATTTTTCGTCTAAGTTCCTCTTTAGGTTGAGGTCTGTTCTTTGGAATTTTTGTTATCAAATAAAGATGTTTTTTTTTTTTGAATGCATAAATGTAATAGAATATAGAATAGGGATGATTAGCAATGAACTTATATATCCCTAATAACTGCAGCACATCAATCGCAATATGTATAAGTAGTCTACAATCTAGTCTAATTTAAAGGCCAGTCTATAGTAGAGACAAGTTTTTATTCTTATATATATTTTTATTATATAATAGTTTAAAGTCTAGTCAATAGTTTTTAGTTTTTATTCTATTCTATATTATAGTCTATTGTCTAATACATAGTCCAGTTTATAGCTTAGTCTATAGTAAGTCAATAGCCTAGTCTTCATTCTATTATATAACCCAGTCAATAGCATAGCCTAGTCTAAAGTCCGGTCTATAGTTTAGTCTATAGTCCAGTATATAATATATTGTAGTCTAGTTTATATATTAGTCTATAGTCTAGTTTTAATTCTAGACTATAGCCTACTCTTTATTCCATTCTATATCATAGTCTATAGCAGCTTAAAGACTAGTATTTTTCTATTCTATAGTTCAGTCTATAGTTTAACAATAGTATAGTCTATAGTACAGTATATAATATATTCTATAGTCTAGTTTAAAGTATAGTATAGTCTATATAATAGACTTTATTCTAAAGTCCTGTCTAAAGTCTAATCTATTGTCCAGTTTATAGTCTTAGTCTATAACCTAGTCTCGCTTTGTCTATAGTCTAGTCTATATTCAAATATAATGTTCTTATTCTCTAGTCTAGTCCAAAGTCTATATCTATCTGTTTCCTAAAGAAGCAACAAAAGTAACTGCAACACATCAATCTCAATATACTTTTTTGTTTTGTTTTTATTTTTTACGTGCATTTCTTTTGTAATATAGTATGTGTATCGTTTTTCATCGTATATAGACATAGAAAAAATGTTTAAATCTTTTTTTTTTTTTGTAATATATATTCCTGCAACTACTATAAAATAGAAAAATAAATGTACACTTTATAATGAATAAAAAGGTTAATTGAAACGCATATGTATACTTTTTTATGAGAAAGTCGTTAACCTGCTTAAAAAATATTTATTTATTGTATTATAAGTCAACATTATGTGTCGATGGATTTTACAATTCGCAAAAATATATAAAAAAAAAATATTAAATAAAAAAAATGAGCGTTTTTTAGGAAATTAATTAATTAATTAATGCCTTGGCGACACGGTTAATTTACAATACATTTAACTTCATTCATTCTCATTCAATGAGATCTCTAGCATAAATATGTGTAATTCACTTTTACATTAAACGTAATAATTGCAACAATTGTATTTTTTCGTTTGTTTTGAAAAATTAAAACACAGTATATATATATATATATATATAGTATACGTCATAAAAAAACCAAGGACTTGCTTTTTTACATTTTAAAGACTTAAATCAAGTTTAAGAAAAAATTCAATAATTTCTTTTACTATAATAATCGTTATTTTTTTGGAATAGTTTTTTTTTACATAACCAAAAGCGTGCAATTACTACAGTTTTTATTGGTTCTTTGTTTTCATAATAAATATACATTAGAAAGAAAATTACAATAAAAATATGTTATAAATTAAAATGTTTTCTTCTGAAGTATGTGTGTTTATAGTTTTCTTCACAATCTTTTTGGTTTTCGTAGAAAATTGGACAGATTATAGAGTTGTAAATTTCATTTAAAAAAAGTATAAAAACAAGATTGTGAAAATGATTCTTCGTTTTAAATGTTTATTGTTGTTGTTGTTGTGGTTTGTTTCATCGTTTTAGCAAATGTAATATTAGAGGGATAAAAAATCTGAAGAAATCTTTAGCCGTGGTGTCATTATTATGACCCAAATTTAAAGGAAGAGGGTACAGTTTGTTGGGTAAATGAGAAACCACCACGTTTTTCAATTAATTTCGATTCCTTGGCAGCCTTACGTTGATCGGCTGTAACAACCACTTCTTGCAAGGCTTTAGTTTGTTCTGGTGTCAAACCGGAAGTGAGTACGGAATACCAAGCCTGATCTTGGGTAGATAAAGCTAAAACAAATAAAAAAAAAGAAAAACAAGTTGTGTTAAAGTTAAAAGCTCGAGTGAGCATGAATTTTCTTTTGTATCTTACCTGTAATAACTTCTTTGAAAGCAACATACTCATCAATGGCATTTTCATCTTCTTCTTCGTCCAAAGGTGTAGTAAAGCCTTCTAGGGCGGTTTCATTCAAATCATCAATGCTTTCTTCTTCATCATCATCAGACTCTTCGTCATCGTCCTTAATAACAGCCTTCATTTCAATACCGGCTTCAGCTGCTTTAGTTTTACTAAATGAAGCAATTTGTTCCAAATAATCTGGAGCAAATTCATCAATTTCATCTTCATCACTGGACAAAGCTTCTACTCATGAAACAACAATATGTTAATCTAATTGTTACACTATACTTATTATTCTTCTAATAATAATTACCTTCACAATCGTCATTTTCCTCTTCTTCCTCCTCCTCTTCTTCCTGAGCACGCGATTCGTAGGCGCGTTTTAAGCCGTCGAAGAGTAAAATTAAAGATGGAATAATTTTACCCGAAACTTCACTCAGTACTGCAGGCTTAGCATCACCCAATGATATAAGAGTACACAAACCCAAAACACATAATTTACGATCGTGAATACTGTAAACAATTTAATAAAAAGACAAATTTTCATTACTTTTTCTTGTAATTTCCAAATTTATATAAATAATTACCCTAAGAAACAATCGGTATCCAATAACCATTGTTTGATGAAATGTGAGGAAATGGGTTCACCATTGGGTTGGGGCATTTTATCCAAAATGGAAAGTAACAATTGAGGATTATAGTATAAAGCAGCAATGACAACCTTTAAATAATATACCACAGCAAATGTAATGTAAAATATTATATAAAACAAAAGCAAATAAAATACCTGCAAACACATAGTACGCAATTCAGAAGATTGAACTTCTCTAGTTAGACGTGATAAGGCCAATTCCACAAACATGGGAATTACAGAATCAATTTGTCCCTTGCATTGCAAGATAATAACTTCCAAAAGTTTAGCAGCATGACATTCAGGATCTTCACCAGGATTGCTGGTCAACATCTGATCAAAAACAAATAACATTAATTACAGTGGCCCATCTAATATGAACTCTAAAAAAAACTTACACTCTTGCACATGTCATACATGGCCAATAGACGGTTTGGATTCGAAAGGAAAGCAGGTGTATCAATTGTCACATAGTTGTGCAAAGCTGGCATCATATCAATGAAATAGTCCATGCCATCTTTTTTGAATACCTGATAGATAAGTTCCAACATTTGCCACATTTCAGCGGAAATAGTTTTCGATGTCAAGTCAAAGACCAAAGAGAATGTCTCTTCATAAAAATCAGTGATGTTGTTTTGGAAGATGTGACCTACAACATTGATGACAATTGGATGTAAATTACTCATTACCTCGGGATGTTCTTCCATAACAGTCAACAAAGTTTCGATGGTATTCAATAGACCCATAGCTGTGATGGCCTTTTCATCACCTCCATCCTCAGATTCCAGCACATGACTGAAGGTGGTTGCCAAATGTTGACAGATTTCCATGGCAACTGGTAACAATTGTTCCGAGAAAGTGCATACGATTTTTTGCAAAACATTTGTCAAATCCTCATTTTCAGTCTCGCGTATGATGGTCAAGAGTTCTTTTGTAATTTCCTTGATTTGTCCCTCACAATAGGGAGCAGCAGCATCTTGTGAACTAAGGAACATTTGCAAACCAATAGCAGCTTCTACCTTAACGGGTAATTCTTTATCGTTCAACAAACAATTGGTAGTTAAACGCATAATTTCTCCTAAAATTTGTGGATTTTTCAGTTGAATGTCACAGAAATAGTGCAGAACCCAACAGGCACGGGCACGCATATGACCGGCTGGATTTTGGAATTCAGGGAATACATAAGTGGTAAGCATGTTCTCAACTTGATCACGGTAGATGCGTTTCTTCAGTAGAACATCAGCTAAAGTACCAATCATGTGTAGCGCACCATCTTTTTGTTTATTATCGGCATTTGGTGATGTTATGATCTTTCGGAAAGAGTGGAAGGGCGAAATAAATATATTATTTATTTAAACTAAGATTCCATGATTACTGAAAATAAATGTTGTCTTAGTAAGGATAACAACTAAAGGTTAATAATCTTGTCAAGATAGCCGTATGTACAGTACTTCTATCATATACACATACATACGTATATGATACGCTTTCTATACACTCTAGGTTTGCACTTTGTGTTGTAAGGGCTTTACCGGTCTTCATTTGAGCACTATTTAGATTAAGATGAGCGGTAGCAGTGCCTCAATGACGGTCTAGTTCAAAAAGTAAGTAGTCAACACCAGGTTAAAGTAACTAGTCGCTAACAACTCCCCTTAGCGTCAAGTTTGTATTCGCAGAGGAAAAGGTGTTTTGCACAGTATATGGGATGGACATATGCTGAGCAGAAGTACAAGAACTGACTGTCCTAAATGTAGATGGTCTGATATCATGTGACTTATTTGGTGAAATTGAGGTCACAGTAAACTTTCAGAGAAGGCTTTTCTCACTGACGAGTTTAGGGGAAATCAAGAGGTGCACATTGAGAAGATCGCTCACAGCTTGTCCGCAAATAGCCATGGATGAAGTAGTAATAAAGAAGGAGAACAGGACGTTAAAGTATCTTGTCATTCTGGCCAAGATTGCAAAGACAGATTCATTAACGTCATTTTCAGCTTCATCGATATCGGAATGGTCCGCTCACTGAGGACGACAGGTTATGCCTGTCGAAGGTGCGGCGAC